AGAAGACCCACAGCATCTTTAATTTATTCAACAAAAGTGATGTTCGCATATAGATGTTGCACCATTTTCTAGCACTATATTTGTCATTTAACAACTTCGCATTAAAGCTGTTATTTATTACACTTTTTTACATTCTAAATCTGTATCACATTACTAAACTGTGAATATGTATTTTCAAATTTTTTCATTTATAAAATCTTAAAATGTCACTTTTAGTCATCTTTGTTAACAAAAATACCACACCACCTTCAGAAAAAAAATGATTTCATCTGATGTGGGTCGCTCAGGTTGGGTTTGGTTATTTACATTGGAGACCACTGAGAAAACCAGGTCCCAGAGATGAGCAGCTGTGGCTCTAGTGCAAACCTTCACCCACCTCTCCTATGAATGCAGTGTGTCAATGCGTGCTTCCATCGGTATACCCCAGGGCAACTGTGGCCATTACAATAGTAGCTTACCAACACCGAGTATGGAGTGAAAGAATAATGCAAAAAAATGTAGAGTGTCTGGAAAAGGAGTATGTAAAACTATATAAGATTACTATTATAGGACTGGGAGATTTAGCCTAAAATAAAATTGTAGATTTTTTTTTTCCTCTCGACAAAAAATGTTTAGCAAACTACCAAAAATTGTCCAAACTAAAAAGATGTATTAAATATGTTATAAATGAGATAAAACCAAGCATTGCATAAAACATGCAGCTCCAACATTTAATTTGACATCACTGATTTCAAAGCATCAGTGCTGCAGGGCCCTGTACTAAACATTGGTCCCTGTGACTACGAGAATGTGGGGAAAATAAAAATAGTTTTGAAATTCAAATTTGATAAATGGATTTTTTTGTTCAGCCCTAGGTTGTTGTTGTTGTTGTTATAAAGATGTTCAATAAACAAGTCTTCATACGTTGTTCTCCCTGTCATATCCATGTATTAGAGTATGTTAATGATTTTGTACCATTCTGGGACATGAGTGAGAGAATTATAAAGTCCAGATTTAGACTATGTTTTAGCATTGTAAGATAATGGTCAACAAAAAAATAAATTGACTTGCAGCAGTGATGCATATTAGCTGCTAGAAACCCCTGCTGTAATCTCACTGTCCTTTCACGTCTTGGGTTCCGTTCATCTTGCATGCTTTCTCCCCCTGGCAATTCCAAATTCTAACTCATTTTGACGAGCATGAAACAATATAACCTCGAGTAAAACCTGCTGTGTAACCCGTGTTTGCACAATTCCGGCTTGATCTGCTTTGAAGGGAGCAAGACTAATGACTTAAACATCATGACCGAGTAAGGAAGGCAAAAATATGAACTTTTGCTTTTTTCCCATGGTCCAATGGGATAGCAGTATATCTCCCAGGCACGTGACTCGGCTCACAGTGATAAGAAGAGGCCACAGTGCTTAGTGATGCAGGGGAGCGTGTAGTTTGGGGGATGGAGGGTTGGGGGGTAGGTGAGGATGACAATCCGGAACAGGTGGGTGATAGATGGTCCAAGATGCAGAGAAAGCAGGCATGATCTGGCAACGCATGCCGACAACAGAGCAGCTTCAGAGGTAATTGCGCGTTTGGTTGAAAGTGATGTTTTAATCACAGCAATAGCAGATGTAGAGGAGCTTTTTTTAGTTGGATAATGGTGCATATTGAGAGGGTTGTGTCTAGAACCACTCACTTAGTATAACTTATATTTTCTATTGTTATTCATGTGCAGTGTTGGGAAGTAACCGAATACATATTCTAATTTTGAGTAACAAAACTGTTAGTTTATCATTTGGTGTATTCAGAATACAGTTAGTTTTTTTAAATGAAAAGAATACATTGCAGTACTTGATCTTACAATTTAGGTGTCAGCTATTAATGAGAAAAACAGAGAAAAACACTGCTTTTGTGGTGAGTGCATGTGTGATATTTCCTTCTCCAGTGTGATGAGTGATAGGAAATGCATAACAAGAGATAAAGAGATGAAACAAACCTTTTTAATCCTATATTGCATTTGCACACTGTAATCTAAATGCAACTTGAGGTAAAAGTATTCTAAGTATTCAGAATACAGTCCTCTGATTGGATTACTTAATACATTTTAATGCAGCAACAAAATATGTTTTCAAAATATTCTTTCCATTACTGTTCAATATGTTGTTACTACTGTTACTACTGTTATTTGTTGATTTATTTTTTATTTTTTTTGGATTGTTTTGGTAAAAACAAACAAAACAAAACAAAAACAAAAAAAACATTTGAACTACTGTGTGCAAATATTTCTCTTGTGGATTAATACAGTAACCTTGACATTCTGAGGTTGCAAGATAGGGATAAAAACAAAACTGTCTCACGGGAATAGCAATAAATTACATTAGTCTAATACAGCGGTTTCCAGAGTGGAGTACAGGGCCCCCTGGGCAGCCTCAGAAGCATTGCAGGGGGGCCCCCAAAGGTTGTTCACAAAACAAGTATAAAAAGAAAATTAAGTTTGAAAGCAACCTTACATCATATATTAATTTAAACGTATTGCTTAATATTAGTATTAAGCATACAGGCATAATTATATATTGTTTAACATGTAAATCTAAGGAAAAAAACACACAACATATTTGGTGCTCCAGAGTGATCTTTGCATTGATAGGGGAAGCATGGCACAGAATACTTTGAGAATGGCTGGTCTGATATATTTGGGCAATTATAATCTCACAGTGCCTGCATATAACAGGCTGGTACATTTTTACTATTGTTTATGTGTTTATTATAAGGGCTCATAACATTTCTAATTCAACTGAAAATGGTTAAAGGTCCTATATTATACAAAATGTACTTGTGAGCTTTAAGACATGTTACAGTGTTGTTACCTTATCAAAACATACCTGGAGTTGTGTTTTCTTTCATTCACACATGTTGTTACTCTGTCTACTTCTCCAAAGCTCAAAATGCTCTGTTCTACCTTGTGATGTCAGATGTAGTTTTCAAGTTAACAGCTACCTTTTGCCTATAGTTCAGTAGAGATTGGCAAGTCTAGGGATGAAATTATCCAAATGATTCTGAAGGTGTGTGGAGTGTAAAAACACAGTATAACCCCATGACATCACAAGGTGGAATAGAGTGTTTTCAGTTTGAGAGAAGAACTCCTAGACATGCAGGATTTGTGTGTCAGTGAAACAAAACACAACTCCATGTATATGCATTTTACTACATCCACTGTGGTGACACTGCATCAATTCCTATTAAACACAATTAAAAAAGATTGTACAAGGAAGCCACTTTTATTGATGTAATAGAATCTGCTCCTGGGGCGACTGTTCTGATGGAAGTGAAGGCAGCCACGATTTAAAAGTTCCTCACAAATGTTTCAGTTGAGTGGATTTGGAGCTGAGAGCAGAGCCGGAGAGGAGCCGTGACTCATCCATCTGTGAGTATTTACCTGTGTTTGTCTCTCAGATCAAACCCAGCATCAGTATAATGACACTCATGCGCCACTGGTGGAATGAGAAACAATTTGACTTCCCACAAAGAGTCAAGTTCTATCAAAAATGAATTAGTGCAAAAGGTATTTAGAGATTCATATTGTAGTTGTGATTAGTTACATTTTAATTGTGTAAATAATTAAAAAATATGCAGTTTAGAAGGAATGAACAGTTACTAGGTCCATATCTCGTAATAATGGGGGGCGGAGGGTAAGCTGTCTTGTCCAAGGACACAATGTTGGAGCTGGGATTGAACCTCGGACATTCAAGTTGGTAGAATAATTGATATAACAATTGAGCAAGAGCCATCCCGATATTTCTCCTGACTGTAGATGGTACAGCAACTTCTGCTTACTACAACTGAATACTGAAGGTTCAAACTATTTCTAAGGGTCATAATATTAATAACCTAATTATGCTCATAACGTCCATAATCAAAACGAACAAATGTAAAATAAAATGTAACCTTATACTCACCATCTCTGCAGTTCACTTAGGTTCTTATTATGCACAGCCTGTGTGTGGATCCATGTTTACTCCTTCGGTTCAAGATAATTAGCTCACATTGTCCTATAAAATAAACAGGGAAAACACAGTCAGCAGCCTAGCACTGCTCCATGTTCATCTGAAAGACATTCTCTTGTGAATTCTGAACGTATCTATTCAGCGTATGCAAATGTACAATCACAGTTGTTATCACTGACCAAAAATACCTTGAAAAACATGCATTCTTGCTCCATAAATTTGATCTGTAACTTGGCCTAGTGGCATCATCTGCTTGTTTCTATGGAGATAGATAAGTTTAATGTCATTCGGTGTAACATTAGAGGCAAAGCCATACCATCTCCATGAAGACAAGCAGTTGGAGAGCACTCCACCAGAGAAATTACATGCTAGGGCTATACCTAAACTTAGGCTGAAAACCAATACATTAAGCAAAAACATAAATAAAAACAAGAATTCCTACCTTGGTAATATGATAATGTGATTTGTATGAAAAAAAAATTTAAATTAAAAAGAAGAAGAAGAAGAAGAAGAAGAAGGCAGAAGACTCAATTTACAACTTAGACTTGACTAGAATAACCAGTCGGGCTTGGGCGTGGTCTCCAGTGATAGTTTCATCTTTAAAAAAGGGCACCCTGGTGATTATTCACCATTCAATTCAATCTCAAATCACCATGCAAAAGGCAGGCTATTTCTGACATAATATTCAAACTAAATACATAGCAAGGCTTTAAGTAATCAGTTTAATTTAAAAAAATAAATTTTAAAAATGGCGTAAAATCACGTGAAAATATTTTGCCTCTCTGGACCACAGACCTGTGGTATATTAGTATATTAGTGGATGAGTATATTAGTATATTAGTGTATTAGTGGATGAGTGTATTAGTATATTAGAAAGTATATATACAGTCTATAGACAGTATATTAGTATAGTATATTATTAGTATATTTGTATACAGGGATTGTATGCGCCAGACTTTACCGCCCGAGTCTTGAAAACGGGCGCACCCCTCCGGACGTGACGTCAGCGCGCTGCAATTCAAACTTCAGGAAACGAAAGCGTCCGAAACAAACCGTCCTGTTGTCATCGTCAGTGAGCGTATTTCATCTATCCATCTACAGCCCATTTTCTATGTAAGTCTTGCATTTTCTAACAATATTTAGCAGTTACCGATTACACAGTTTGTCCCCCATTGCGTAAAATAGTGCGTTACGTTATGATAAACCAAGGATCCTTTGAAAACATCATGAACACACATGAACTAAGAGTGATTTCAGAAGTGCCCTTGTTTCAAATTGTTAATAGATGAATAAAGTACGTATGATAGTTCAAACATAGTCAGGTTTCCAAATGTTCTTTTAGTTTATTAGCTTATCTTCCTTGTTCAGAGTTCAATCTATGGAGTGTTTATGCTGTGTTGTTCAACTCGGGACCACAATCTAATACTATCATGGCCAATAGATTTTTGTACATTTGTGAGCAATAGATGTACAGGTCATCCAGTAGTTTTTTTTTTTTTTTCTAAATGTGTGCAAATACAGCTGTCATTTTTGTGCTTTTTCTAGGCAGTGACTCATTCAGTACAAGCCATGACATCTAAAGGTGCCAAAGAGACCATTGTGTCCAAGTTGGGCTTCAAATCAAGCAGTTCTTCCTCCAAAGTTGAGGCAGAGTTGGATCGTGTGAAAAAGGAAAATGCTCATCTCAAAAAAAAGATTGAAGACCTCGCCAAACGACACATCCGACCACCTGACTCTGATAAAAGCAAGTTGCTCGAGGTACAGGAAAGCCCCTCTCTTCCTGTCTCCTGTTCAAATGCAAGATTTTAATTTTTCTGTTTTGTGTTTGCAACCTTAGAGGATCCTTTCTCTGGAGACACTACGGGAGAGAAATAACCAGCAGTTGTTGGTCAAAGAGCAGGAACTTGAAACTTTGAGACAGCAGCTGACAGCTCGAGGAGGAGAGGTATGTGCACAGTAGTGACAGGAGAAATGCATCCATAATAAAAAGCAATAGGACTGGTGCGATAGGTCCACACTGAAGGCTTTTGTAAACATTATATTTTTTCAAAAATAGGTGACAGTTGCCAGTGATTAAGATGTATGTCTATGCTTTTCTGTTGTGAAATTTTGTCTCTCTTTGCCGTGGTATTGACGCATGATGCTGCATGTATGTATGGATGGCAGCAGACAACTGTCAAAGAAGAAACAAATCACGCTGGCTTTTCACCGAGCTGCCACAGTAACAGTTGGTGGGAAATGACTTCTATCTCGCCTTTGACAGCAGCTCAGCCGAAAAGAAGTTTAGCCACAAACATGGCCCCAGCACTGTGCACTTCAATTTTATTGTTGAACTTTTACCTTTTGGGTTTCAAATGTATTTATGGCTTCTTTACTTGACATCTGAAAGTAAAAAAAAAACAAAAGTGCATCAACACAAAGTTGATAAATAATTTTTATTTGTGTAAAAAAATATTAGTGAGCTGTTTGAGACATTTTTTAATATTTAAACTGTGAAGTCATATAGTTAATAATAATAATAATAATAATAGTTTGCACATTAAAACCTACATGCTTTTTAGATTACATAGATAATAATACTTAAATGTATTTATTTTTATGTGCAAACTATTATTAAAATCTCATTTGAAATACACTTACACAATGCATTTATTTGTGCACATTTATACAAATGTCCTGGCTTTTATTTGTGGATCAGAGAAACATTTTTTGAATTGTAGCTTGCCTATGTAATAGGAGTTCTATTGTTGCATAAATAATACTGTGGTTTGTCTCGCAATTAGCTTGAATTGCAGGAATAACATGGGAATGGCATGCTGGTAAATAGAATATGAGATGGGATATATAATCACACTTGCCTCTTCCTCATTAGTCGTCAACAGAAGTGCAAAACAAGAGCTTCTGGGTGGGTAATGTCAGCAGGCTTCCTGCTATGTAATCTGCGCATGAAGCAGCCATAATTGCAGAGAGAGGAGGAGGGGGAGGAGACAAATTTTAACAAACGTTTCCCAAATTCACTTGACACAGCTTTTCCTTGGGTCTTGTAGCTGATGATTATTTGATATTGTGTTATTTAGGTGGTGGCTTCACTGCAAGCCCAGCTGGAGCAGAGGAGGAGGGAGGCTGAGCAGAGAGATGCCTTGTTCCAGAGCGTATCACAAGAGACAGAGAACCTCAAAAACAAACTGGCCTCAGTGTCTGCGCGCTGCCAGTCCCTGGAAACACAGCTGGCAGTAAGTTGGCAAACTTTCAGACCTGTCCACAGCTCAGTTTCTGAAGAGATTATTGCATGAGACCAGTATCTGTCAATATGGTCCCACTACATTGTTAATTCATGAGGCTGAAATTACAGCAGTCCATGACCGTCATACTGGCCTGTACAAATTGTATATGCGCATGTTGTGTTGTAGGTGGATTGTGAAAATACTATATAGGGCTAATTTAATGTCATTTGTTAAAATCTATGTATCATTGTACAATTAATAAATTTGTCTTATAAGTAATCTTTTACATATTTATGTAGAAGAATCTCAATGATAAAATTTTAATATGTCACTACAATGAAACCACAATAATCACTCTCTCCACAATATAGGATTTCTCATTGCAACTAAGTTGAAAGGAAAAATATATTTACTAAGTAGATAATAAAAAGTTTTATTCAATAAGTATCAAAACGACTGAAGCTATTTATAGACCTTACTGATGGATGGCTGTTTTGACAAACTGAAACCTTTTTTTGTTGTTGTTGTTTTTTGTTGTTTTGGCTTGTCCTTCTGAGGCAAACATTGTTTCTAGCTGCAGTTTCCCAATGCAGCAGTAGATGGCACTGTGGGCTTGTCCCCTCATTTGGTCCTCTAATCATATTCCTGGTGCAGCCTAATTGTAATGTTCATGTTCTGTGGTCCAGCATTTACTCAGCTGTCTCTGCATTGACTTTGCTAAATTGTTTAATACCTCACTCTTTTCTATTCCACAATTCCCAGTTTAGGTCTAAGTGTAGCTTGCATATGTCTTCCCTTTACTTCACCTCTTCACTTTATACCCTACCTAGGAGCCTTGAAATTGAAATACAATGTTTTGGGTCTTAATGATTTGTTTTAAAAAAACAAGTAAAAGTTCATACATGATACAAGTTATTCAGGAGCATTAACATGTGAAGAGTAAATATGGCCTAATGAAGCTCTTGCACTTCAGAATACATTTGTATAAGCAAGTTTCCATAGAGACACAGGGACATTTAGTTATTGCTTAAATAATTGCTGCCTTTGAGACTTGCTAATGGTGACTATTCAAATTCAGTTTTCAAATCAATTGTGATTATTCTTTCACCGCTCTCTTGAGATGCACTGCTTCAGGCATCGTATCTATATTAACTTCATGTGGCTTCCATCATGTTGGCTTTGTCTCACACTCATTTCTCCTCTCCACAAACTGGTGTCACTGCCCTTGCATTACTAGAAATAATCCAACTAGCCCGGCGTGTCAACCTTTGCACTTTGCCATTTTAAATATGATCCTCAGACGGCTTATGTGTCCATACCTTTAAAACCATCTGGAAAAGTTGTCAAGCTCATGATATTTGTCTCGTATGGTGCTGCTTAGCTTAGCTCAGAGATGCTCATTTAGGGGCTTATAGCAGTAAAAGGCTTAGACATCCTGACCTTAGAATCACCGGGTCACATAGACAGAATTATGAGATGTTGAGCAGGCTGCAGGACTGTTGTCGAGGAACAGGATAAGACCAAGGGCAATGAAGGATACAGCATAGAAGTGGAGTAATTATGTAAATGAAGATCAGACCCATGTAATTTGGACAGAATTTCAGATTTGGGGGTTAACTAATTGTGTATATTTTTTGTTTAAATGTTTCCATATAAAAAAAATCTATTGATTTTATTAAAACTCATAATTGTTCAGTGTAGGGACAATAACTGCTATTGCACCCAGCCTTCCATTACAGATCATTTTAATTCCGATGCATTTAGTTTCACTTTGGGCTTTATGTTCATCCATGTGGTGTTTTATATATGTACTTTGCTCTTAACATTTCAGTCACATGACCTTTTACAGTTAAGAAGTCATCTTTCATCACTTAAACAATGGATAAGTAAAAAATAATGTGTTTTTTGTCTTTACTGCAGAATGGACAACAAGCACCTCCTCCAGAAGTGGCATTGGTGCAAGATCAGCTGAAAGATGTGGGTCTGAATATTGAATCATATCTTAGTATTTTGTACTGTGAAAAAGTCTGTCAACATGAAACACTTGACCTGGTTCTGATCCTCATCCCATTACACCACAAAACCTTATCTTGTGTAACCTGATAGTTTGATACTATTAGTTTATATTTTCCCTACTTGCTTAAAACTGAATGTGCTGGGCGTATTAATATAAATGGTTGTTTTTGGGGCAGGCCCTTGAGAAAAACCAGCAGTGGTTGATGTACGACCAGCAGCGAGAGGCCTATGTGCAGTCCGTGCTGGCCCACACTCGAGAGCTGGAGCAGCAGCTGGCTCAGGCCAAACAGCAACAAGCTACGCCAGAACCAGCCTCAGAGGGTAAGATGGTTCATTATTTACATAACTCTGAAGCTAACATACTGCTCTGACCACCATCCTTCTTGTTGTTGATCCAAGTAGGGATGGGCATTATTGATTAAAAATGAACATTTCAATATTTTTTGGGCTTACCCTGATTCAGATATTTAGATGATACTGTGCTAAAATGTGCCTGTGCGTGTCTTGGTTGAGATTCAAGTATAGCAAAAAAATGTAAATTTAACCACAAAAGTACAAAAAATACGTTATTTGATTGTTTGGAAGATTATGTTGCAAATTTCTTTTTTTTTTTCTTTTTTTCCAATCATCTCAACATCGTGATATTACCTTTTTTTTCCCATCCATCCATAACCCACCTTTAGCTCCACGTAAGACTGTTGTTATTTCATCAGTGAGTAAATCAGTCCATTGATGTTGACTGTTTGTAGACTGTTTATATTATAGATTAGGTAATCTGGAGTTTTTGGAGTGACTGCACAGTGCACAGTTTAATCAGACTTTCATATTTCTTTGTATACGTAGTAGTTGTTGTGTAAGATCCTAATAATTTTTAGAGCTTTGTTCCACCCCACTTTCCCTTCAAGTAGATTATTTGATGCATAGAAAATGTCTTTATTCAACCAGTATGTTTTTTTGGCATCTACAACCCTAGGTACAAGACTGTTCTCAAGAACCAGTTAAGTTTTTATGTCAGAGGTTTGCAAGTTGCGAAATCTATGTAAACAGTCTGAGTGATTTATAGCTTTACCAATCCTTCCTCAGGGTACAAACTGTTCGGGGAATGTTTCGGATCTAGGACAACAACTGAAAGAGTGTTCCGGGAATGTACATTACAAGGCAAAAACATACTGTGTTTTGAATGTGTCTATGTGTCTCTCAATAGGCCTGTCACAATAACAATTTCGAAGTGCTATATCTTGCTCAAGTAAATATGGATTATAAACAGTAATACTGAAACTAATTTATATCACTGACCCAATAACCTAAGAGCAGATTTAAACCACAAATCCAAAAATGTCCTCACAAAATATGTATAATATTGACCTATAAAAATATTGTTCCAGCTTTCATTTATTGAACTACATAATTTTACACAGAGATTATTCTGACAGGCCTATTTGGCAAGCTAAATATAATAATGTGGATTGAAAAATACATGTTCAACTTTTGAAATCCTTGGACAGCTGGTCAAGCAAAGGACGATGATCAGAAAAAGCACTTGGAGCAGATGCTGGCGGTGGCGCAGAAAGATTTAGAGACACAGAAAAATGAGCTGTCCCGGACTCAACTTGAACTGCAACTTCAGAAGGAACAGGTAAATCACATTTGTCCTGGGACCATACACTGACCAGGTTTTACATTCAGAAGGCTTACCGAGGGCTAGGTGATTTGGCAATAAAATCCCTGATCTGATCTGATCCCTGTGATGATGTGCTGTTTTGGTGACTGTCATATTGTAATTCAGTTTGTTGTGAAGTGAACTCTGAGTAGTCGATGCCTGTTCCAACTTGTTCATAATGTATATTGATGCTTTGCAGTGACATCATGCTGGGGGTGTTCTATATGGATCTCTGTTGGCATAATATTTTATCAGACAGACACTATGCATACATTACCAAACACTGAAAAAAAGTTTTAAGACAGTCTGAAAACTCAAGAAAAAATACAACCATGCGAGTCATTACGAGTGGTCATGTTTAGGTGTCTGATTTTCAACAAAACAAGTGAGTGTGTGAGAAAATATAATTTTATGTGTGAGGGACTTGTTTAGGAACACAAATCGGCTCGCCTGTCGTCGTTCCAACAAAGTCGGCTCTTTCTGGTCAGATTGTGTTAAATTAAAACTCAGAAGCTGTGTTAGACTTAATAACAGAGCAGTGCTTTCAGTTAGCTTCATACCATCAGGAAATGTTGATGACATCAGCTGCAAAATATCAATAACATCTTGAAATATGATAAAAATATGATCATGGCTCTAGTAAACCGTGATGTGATTTGATTTTGATGTGACCTTTTAGCCTTACCTTTTTTGGTCATTAAAACATTATGACCAGTATCCTAAAATGCAGTCCTCTGTACGTCAGCCATGTATTTAATTTTTACTTTACTGCTGTAACCAGCTTGTAGAGGCGAGTAATTGATCTTTTTTTCTTATTGCATTTTAATACTTTAGTCCTGTACATGACAAACATTGTTGCTTATGACCCATTCATTTATCCTTCCTTTTCACTGGTCAGATTTTCTTGCCTCCTGTTTGTTACCTGTCCCATAATCATTTATTAACAGTGCCTGTATTATGCCTGTGACAGCATTAATATTGGTTTTGTGTCACCTTGCAGAATTCAAAGGCCCAGGCTGAAGTGGAGTCTCAAAAGCTGCAGGTTTCCCGGCTCCAAAGCCAGATCGCAGCTTTGCAGAGCAGCTACGAGATCAAATGTACCGAGATGTCATCGCTTCAACGAAAGTACGAAGTCAAGAGCAGAGAGCTGGGGGAGGCCAGAGAGGAGCTGCAGGGGGAGAGGCTCAGAAATAGGTAGACAAGCTACTGTAACTTATCATTCTTACTGTTAAATAGAGTTGCAACTATTCATCTGAGTAACTGTTTTTATTTGATTCATCATTGGTCACATGGACTTAACAGACTCTAAAACACATGTCAAAAGAACTTCATAACAAAGACAGCTGCCATATTAAATCAAAATATCAATTGTCAAGAATAAACCATTTTAGATTTTTATGAATAATACACTTGCTGAATATTCTCTATCTAGAAGCCTTCAGACACCATATTTCCACCTTAATTTGGTCAAAAATGTATTTTTAAAAATCTCAGTGTACAATAGAAATTTTGTTTGACTTGTCGACTAAATGGAAAAATAATCACGAAGTAGCCGACTGCTAAAATAATCTTTAATTGCAGTGCTACCGTCAAATACATTTCAGTTGCAATTGTAAAGATTATTTTATATATTTTTTGCATTAGATATACAGTGAATGAGGAAAGAAAAGTGTCCTCCGAGATGACAGACCGAATGAGGATTGAGCTGGAGACGACGGACATGAGGCTTGAGGAAGAGAGAAAGAGATCGGCTGAGCTTCTGTTACAGGTGAAAAGTCCATTAATCATTTGTCCAATAATGAGAGCTTTCGGCCACAAACAGATGGGTTGATGGTTTGTGTCCTTGAGCAAGACCCACCTTATGAATGTATGAATGTGGTTCCTTCAAATTCAAGGCTTTATTTTGTTTATTTAGGCTACTTTGATGTAATTAGTATGCTGCTTTATTTTTAAATGTGAAGTTGTTTTCCTATGAGTGTTATTATTAAGTACCTAAATGTATATATTTTTGAGTTCCACAGGTCAACATGTTGCAGAAATCTCTCTTGAGCCAAAAAGAAGAGCAAATGAGAATTGCTACTTTGGAACAGCAGGTAATGTAACATCTCACCGCGCGCTGCTACATTATATTTCATTACATGCCATTTTAGTTTTTACATTTTCTCTCTCTTTAAGATCCAACTGTCTGCCAAAGAGTTTGAGAATGAGAAGATTGATCGGCAGAGCATGCAGCACCAGTTACAGAAGGTGCTGAAGGAGCTGCGGAAGGCTCGTGACCAGATTGCTAAACTGGAATCTGCTGTATGTTCAACTGCACACAAATCTATTTATTGGCTTGTCTCTTTATCTTTTCCCTTTAAAGGTGCATTACACAACTTTTCTGGTGAAGGGTCCGTCACTGGCTTGCTGTCTTGGAGATGTTTATTGCTTTGTTTAGAATGTTCCAAGGGAGACAACTATAGGCTATATGATAGGTCAGATCTGTGGAGATGCAGCCCTATTCACAGAGAGAATTATTGTATTTTTGATCAGTAGAAACACCTGTAATGCTGTAATACTAGATGTGTTTAATGACAAAACATCTCCATGGAGACAAGCAGGCGACAGACCCTCTACTAGAAAAGCTGCACAATGCACCTTTAAACCTGATGCCTAGTTATGTTCACTAAGGGTACCCATCTACTTTAGTATGCTTCCTTTGAGGACAAATTGTTCAATATGTCGTGTCCCCTCATTAAAGAAGACTGATTAGGTTAATCTATGTTTTTTCATTTTAACTGTCAGCACTCACTATTATGCTTTTCCCTGCAGGATAAAGCCAGCCTTACAATAGTGATGTAACAATAATCTCACTGTTAGGGTATTGTGCATCTGTATAAACCTTTATGATCATTTGGACATTATGCATGGCATCCTCCAAAACCTTTGTCAAATATACACGTATTTAAAGGTGCACTGTGCAGCTTTTCGGGTAGGGGGTGCGCCACTCGCTTGTCTTTATGGAGATATTATTATTTGGCCTATAATGTTCCACAGTATGGCATTAAACTTATGTATATCCATTAAGACAAGCAGGTGACACAATCAGGCCAAGTTACAGGGCATATCTATGTCAAGGGGACCCTACACACAATAAAAATTTGTATTTCAGGATTTTTCAGGTAAAGCCATTACATCTGCATGGAGACAGACAGGTGGTGTAGTCAAAGTTGCATCGTGCACCTTTAATACAGACTCATCTGTATCAAAAACTGAGGTTGAAATCAAGAGCAAATACAAAACTATCTTTTAGCACTGTTATATATTTAGATTTCAATTATCATGACTTTGACTGTATTTTCTGTTTCTCTTTAAAGTCTGTATAGTTATCTTTGCTTTTTAGATGCTTTTACTAATTAGCTTTTTTTTCTTCTTATTGTGAGTTTGATATTGCCACATCTGTACTTTTTTTTTTTTTTTTTATTCCCAGAAAACATGCAACGCCCGCTTCTCTGAGCCATCCTCTTATAACCGCTTTGAGTTTGAGCGCCTCACCATTGACGACCCCATAGGACCCACTTCTCCGTCTAAAGTCCCCTGCCTGCTGGACGAGAGCTTTCTGGAGTGTCCCAAATGCCACGCCCCCTACCCCACCAGCCGCCATCGCGAGCTGCTTGCTCACATTGACTACTGCATGGCCTGAAGCAGTAAAATGGGATCTGGTTCAACACTGGTAGAGATGAAACCGAAATATCCTAATTTGTGATTTGGTGTTCCTCTCTGACCCATTCAAGTTTAAACTTAGTGTATTTCTAATTATGTGATATTGGTAATTTGGTAATATCTAAATTGGATTGAAGATTTAAAATTATATTGGAAAAGCAACATAATTTTTCCATGTTTTAAAAGCTCTTGGTAAAACTTTTATCCTTATGTATTTATTTTTGGTGAAAACTGCTGTTTTTTTTTTTATTTTGTTTTTGAATCATGTTTTGGTTAATGGCTTTACATTTTTGTATCTTTATTGTTTTGTATCTATATTTGTTTACTTTTAGCTATCAAAGTGAAACATCACTCCACATTTTAATGCAAAAGTCATCACTGATCAATCATTATTTATTCAAGAAGGGAATATTACACAAACTTATATCTAAATCATGAACAAACTATATTGGACTTCTTTTGTTAGTACATTGTATTTATATTGCTTTAGTTTGTGTTACAATCTCACATGCATTGCCACCTTGACTTTTCAAGCTTGCTGCCCGCCCGCTAAAGCTGGAATGAGATTGCATTGTGTTAATTCCTCGTACTAAACTATTTAAAGGAGGGATTAGTAAAGGTCTTGGCGAAGGAGAAAGGAGGCTAAGGTACCTGTATGCAGTCTACAAGGCGAATAGAAGGCAAATGAAGTACCTTTTGTTTTTCTAAATTACATTTTTACATTGTTATATAGATTATGTTGTGTAATGTTGTAATGTTCTCCAAAAATTTATTACTGTACTGTATAAAAGGTGCAATAAAGATCCGAATGTCTCTCCAATACTGCAATTTTATTTCATTTACAAATAAAATACTTGACTGACAATTTGTTACTTAAAAATACAGATATTGGAGCAAGAAAATACTCCAGTATTTTTCATTTTTATCCAGTTAAAAAATGTAGAGTAGAAAATGCAGGTACCTGCTCTCAAATATAGTGAAGTAAAAGTAAAAAGTATACACTTTAAAACTTACTTAAGTGAAGTAAAGTACAGATACCTAAAGTGTATACTTAAGCACAGTACTTATACATACACATACTACTTTACTTCCATGTAATTGTAAAATGGATCACTGACCTCATACAACCATAGAATGAACCCAATATAGTTAGGATTTGTCAACATCTGTGAAATAGCATAAGCTTAAATGGGAAAGGGAAGGTCCAGTGACAGAAAAGCAGTAACAATAATGACACATGTCTCCAGTCTTCTATTTACAGTGGTACAAGTTCATGAAACATGAATGCTTTATTTTCTCCTCAGTGATAAAGTGTTTTAAAGTCCCTGAGGTAAAAGACAAAATTAAAGTTCCTGATAGTTTTCAGATCACTTGGCTGGTGCTGTGTCACAATAACCTGTAAAAAAAAAAAAAAGATATTAAGATTAAAGTTTATTCATACATTTTATTTTTCTCACAATTCATATTATTAGTCTCTATTGGTATATTAAAACAATGGCTGAAAGGCAGAGGTGGATGTAATTGAAAGCACCAAATGGTTTTCTTCTGTATATTAATTGTAAAAAAATAAATACAAATTTTGAGATTTTTTTCATCATATTCTACTTGTGCCAACATAAGTAACATCACTTAGGTAGTAGCCTGCACTTCCCATTTTTGAGTAGTACTGAGCTCAGCCGTTGTGTACTCATCGTTCATCATAAAAAAATACAACCTTATATTTATATTGTTGTCAAAGAGATTGTCAAACTATTTACTTTTACTTTTCTTAGCACTTGAACTTTCTGGAGTATATGTGGGAAACTTTTCTGCAGTGTTGTGGCTGGCAAAATATACTTATTCTGAATTTTAGTTATGCAGAATAATGGATTTCCTCAATAATATCAAGGACCAGGATCAGATTTCAGAAATTTTCTGTTTTTTGATATTCTTAAATGTATAATTAACATTGCACTTCTGACCCCAGTCCCATTTGAATGAAAACATCAAAATTTGACTTTTCAGTTGGGACTCACCATTATGCACTACACGCCTGTATTTTCCCAGCAGGCAGAGCTCCCTTTTCTTAAGGGTGACTATGGCCACATCTTCAGGTCTCAGACCAGTGGGGTGTCGGGAGAAAATGAAAGAATAACCATCTTTGCATGTGCCATCCTCATCTACTTGTCTGCAGCTGTAGTGCACAGCGTAGTTTTCATAGTCAGTGTCAATCACCCAGTGGTCATCATCTGAAATAAGAACAGACAGCACAGAGCTAGGAGTGTCAAACAAAATAAATGTCTGTGTAATTAAGATACTGTGTTATGATCAATAATAGTGAAATTGATGTTCATTTTAATTCACAGTCATTGTTTCCACACTGAAAGGGACATAAATAATAATACATATTTTCTCTTTGAAGTAAGTAAGTAAAGTAATTTAAAATAAGTAATACTATGTTGATTTTTTATGGATATGTAATTTTAAAATCAGCTTGTGTAGTAGTTATCTCTCCTCATGGCAGGCTATTTGCTGTTATAATCATACTATTTTAATTGCAATATAGTCAATGTAAAGCACATTCATGAGAGTAAAAAAGGGTTAGGAGGATACAGAATTATACTGCCAAAACAAGAACAAATTATTTGTTTCAGTAGTTCAGTTGTTATGCAGGTGTGGTACTTACATCCCTCCTGCAGGTTGGCAGCTGCTCCCCAGTACTTCATCTTGAACTTGGATGGGTCGTCAGTGTCATGGAAGGTGGCAATCATTCTAGCGCATGTTTCCCAGTTGCTGTGAGTGCGAGTAAGAGCATGCAATTCAAATTTAGAGATTATTTATAAGTTTGAGTCAATTAAACATTTACTTTCATACAGACAAATAAAGACAGAGATACTCACCCAAGAATGATGACTCTGCCCTCGGCTGTGGCAGTCATTTGACCATTCTCATCAATAACCATTATGGCCTTAATGTTGTCCAGTAAGAACAGGCCCTCCGGGTCCTTCTTACCCACTGCATACCACACGCCTGTGTACTAATGCAACACAAAAGGCAATTTAAGTGAAACTAACCCTCAGCCTATACACACATTGGTCACGGAAGTCATGATTACCCTGGTCCTGTCAAAGTTCTGCATGACCTGGATGTTAGCCACCTGGCAGTCCTGTGCCCAGGACACAGCCACAAGGCAGAGGGCAACCACGTACTGCAACATTCTGCAAAAAACACAAAAACAAAAGTCAATATTGGAGTTGGCCCACATATAAAGCAGCAGTTTTATCAGCTAATCTGATTTGTCAGATTAGATCATGAAGAAACACCGTCTGAATGTCTGCATTGATTACAGAGGGATTTCTAAATAATAAACCAGTGATTACTGTTAAGACTGTAATCCAAACATGCTAATGTCAATGACAAGGCAATTTCAGCATAAACTGACTATGATCAACTTGACCCTATTACATTTAAAACACATGAGAAATGAAATAACAGGGATTCACCCAAGAGCCAAGGATATGGAGAGATTCAGAACAGAAGAAACACTGAGTAATGCACTATATGTTGAAGTTTGTTAGCTGCATATGTAAACTGTAGATTCTGCCAGACTTTAGTCTAATGAGACCAAACTGAACTATGTCCAGTGGCACTGCACATCACTCTTATAACACCACTCTCTACAGTACGTTATGAGGGGGGCATATTATATACCTGTGTTCACAAACACAATCTTCACAAATTTATATTAGAGAGACATAAAATTAAACTGTTAGTATGGCCCAGTCATTTGTCCTGAATCCAACAGAACAGATGGGAAGAAGGGACTCAATGGGTCACAAAAAAACATGAGAAATACACGTGTCCAGTTTCATAACAAAGTACAAACAAACTCATTTTTCATTATTACACATATCTGTTGACATTTATGTAATAGGTTATTCATATCTAGTGAAAATATTCTTTAAAGATTTACTTACCACATTTGGCCACTGTAAGTATTCAATCATAGTAGTAGCTAAAATTAATGGTAACATTACAATAGCTATACCTAATTAGTCGTAATAAAGCATGGACAGAGACTTACAACTCATAATGAATGATTTAGGCTTGGTAAAGTACTTAATTAATATCCTAACCCCTTAAATTACGCAGTTACCACACTTGAATCATACTTAATTAACAAGTTGTTTATTATTAATTAAGTCTTTATTCAGGCTTTATTAAGACTATAAATAGCGTATTTATTATAGTGTTACCAGTTAAAGTGGGGAAAGTCAAAATGCAAAACCTACCTGGAGACCAAGTTGAGGTGGGTTGCTCTCAGAGATCAGACCTTGGTTTGAGTGAGTCTGGCTTTTATAAAGAGCGTGCACTTCTTGCGTAATAACTGGAGGAGAACCCTCTGAGCTCCCCCTTTCTCTGCAACTCCATCTTCTATTGGTCAAACTTTACATAACTCCTGCTGCTATTGATTTGTGGCAAGGTCCCCCCTTCCTCTGTCAGGGGCAAAAATATGTTTTTTTCTGTTTATAATAAAAGCACAAACATCACCTTGGAAACATCTGGACAACGTACCTACAAAAGTTAAACTATATCACATCTAGATCCCCATTTGAAAAAGCACTGATATTGCAAAAAATATGCAGAATAAAACTGGACATTGCCTGAATAGTTCCACAGAATGGCATTAAAGTTAACTTTGCATTAATTCAAGTACTAGTACTCTCTTGCTCAAAAATTACCTTGTGAAATGAAATCTTATTCTCTCTTCAGTCCATTGATGTGGCCTGTAACTTGGCATGGTGCTGTCATCTGCTTTTCCACATAGACATACAGTAGGTAGGTTTAAAGCCATACTGTGTAAAAAAGCAATATTATCTCCATAGAAACAAGCAGGGCTATATATACTGTAAGTTACTAAGTGCATGTTTAAAGAAAATTCTATTATTCTATTAGTCCACTGACCCAGAATATGAATTGAGTTTGAATTTTTCGATTCATGACAACACTAGTTACAGAACAAGCTATCCAAATACCAAAGCAATTGTAGCTTGTTGTAACCTGTGAAGACATATTCCAGAAAATATGTGCCAAAATGTGCAATGCTGCCTTTCTTAAGTGTACGCACTACAGGTACAGCATTTGTGCATCTCAAATGGAAGTGAAATGCTTTGCTCAAATCGATGTAACACATTTTAGAGACTTTTAGCATAATCTTAGGCCTTTTTCCCAGCACAGGCAACAGTAGGTGTGCTTCCTGACAGTACAGAGCGTTATTGCATCAGCTGTTTATTTCATTATGCTGCCAAAGGACTCCTGCACTACTCCCAATACACTGTTTGTATAAAACATGGAGCAGAGTGCTAAAGTCAACATCCAGCGATCAATAAAACTCAATGCATGAGAGCACAGGCATCTTTGAACAGTCAGACTGAGCCCACAGCGTCACAGCTCAGATAAGGGAATACTGGATATCAATTCTGATTTCTGTCTTCTAAAGCAAAGCAATCTCACATGGGTTGAGGTAGCAGAGATGAAACTATTGCAAACAGTGTATACAGTGTAATTCGAAAGGTTGTAGATGTTAGCAGTGGTGGTAAGTAAGCTGTCAAGTCAATACTGAATGAATCCATAATGGGCACATGTCTAAAATAGTTTAATTTAGGGATAAAGCGATGTCCAGATCTCTACAAAATTGTGAATATACTACTTTTCTGTCATAATCCAAATAATTAAGATTTAAAAGTGCTTAATAACAGTTATTTCATCATGTAAATTGTACTGAAACAGAGAAAAGGATCATAAGCTATGTAGTTTTTAACTGTTGCTGCACCATAACAATTGATTTAAGAAAAGAAACTTGTAATTCGATATATTGTGACAGCCCATGGTATTACTGTGAGGCTTTTGCCAATATGATATTTCGGGTATTGTTACATTCCAAGTTTAACTATTGATTCAAGATTGAAGATTTGGTTGTCATTTTTATAGAAAAAGCTATGAAATTATGTTTAGAGCATCACACACTGCATAGTTTTGAGTGCAGTGCCCCATATACCCCATGACAGACAGATCTCTATTCACGTTATGGCACAAACCCGGAAGACGTTTGGAAACATGCAATGACAACTTCCAGTGTAGTTACCAACACTGGGCTCAACTACCAACTGTGATAAATCCCACTGAAGTAAATGTCATCAGAGGTAAAATGAAGACTGCATATGTATGTGCTGTTTGGGAAAGGAGAAATTCAGTTTGTCAACTGGACAAACGTTTATTTAAGTCGAATACATTTTACAGTCCATGCAAGATGCTTCTTCAGTTCTGGTCAGACGCTGGTGAACACTTCCTTATATCTGCCTAAGGGAGGAGCTAAATACACTGAAAATACTCTGAAACTAACACCCCTATACTTGTTTACAGTTTCTGTTTATTAGCTAGGCCTATTCAACTGTAATGACTGTGGGGTTATATTAGCATAATCATTCAGGCCCATAATGACCTGACCTGACTACCCCTATTTTTCCTCTTTGTTTTAGGTTTGAGGATGGAGTTGATGATGTCTGAGGCCTCCATTTCTGTTCAACATGTATGTATGTAATGTCCTTCCTTTCTCTTGTCTTTTTAACTCTCCTCTCAAACCAGTTCTTTTCTCTGGCTAAGATCTGTACCTCACTATCCTCAAAAGAGTGGCCCATGGATTTTAGATGAAGATGTACGGCAGATTGAGGTCCACAATGGCTCTCTCGCCCGTGTTGGTACATCCTCTTGTGAAGTGGTTGTTTTGTTGTTTTGTAGACAACGTCGCTTTGTTTGTGGCTCGGTGTTTTGTCCTTCGGGTGGACCAGTTTCTGTCTTAAAGTGTTTGCAAGTTTGAGATAGACTGGAATTTCATGTTGTCTGAAATCTGGACGACTGAGGGATTCTACACACTATGTGCTGTTTGAATTAATTTTGATTTGGCACCGTCATCTCTTCTAATTGCATGTACCTAGTGCACTCGGAGTTGTGTGTCCGTGGGGAAGTTATGAAAACTGAGGTATAGTTGTAATTGTTGATTAGCCAAAGATAATGCAACCTTACAATGATCTAGATGAAGAAAACTGGCACATTTTCTAATTTTCCTAGATTTTGTCAGACTTAAAACCGCAAACAAAGCCCGTCGGAAGATGTAATCATATGTTTCCAAAAGTCTTCCTGGTTTGTGACGTAAAGCGTGACTAGAGCCCATAGTTTTGAAGATTACATACAAATGTGTCAAAATAGGGTGATATGGAAAAAAAAGGAGACAAATTCTCATGACTGATCTAAATTTTCAAATCAAATAAAAATAATCTTTTCAAAAACACAATAAAAATGGATTTCGGTATTGATTTCATAACCAAGATTTTTTATCAATGTCATGTTTAATGTCATCTTCAAACTACCATACATGCTTTTACTGGCAGAAGGATTGGCTGTAGACATCGCCACTAAAAACGCCAAAGGATATCAAGCAAACATGGATGAATCTCAATCAAAATAAATTTTTCAGAATTGTGTACACCCTTCTTCTTTGCTTGTTTCGATTGTCCATATACACTAGCTGCATATTGTCAACGTTTGCAACTTTTTCAATATATTTTCATTTGTAGACAATGCTTCTCCTACTTCTAGTTTACAGCACTTTTACTTCACTACACTCCTCCCCAATCAACCAAAAAGTCAGATTTTTTTTCTGTGGAACTCAATCAATTATGTAACAGTCCCTCTGCATCCGTCTCTGCTGAGTTGTGCATTTGAAGTAACTATGATCTTTTGTGTCAGACGGATATGAATTGGGGCTCTTGTTTTGTACAGCGCTCATGTAACCGTTCCTCTGAGGCTTGAGGTTGAAGTAAAGGACTCGGAGCAGCCAAACATCTGCCTCTTGCATAACCAAAGCCCGGGCTTGTTGAAAACAGAGCAATCACTCATTTGTGCAGACATAATAGCAGCTGGATCCTGGCCAGAGGCTCTGCAACATTTCAGAAAAGGAGAATATTGGCCAAGTGGGATATACGGGCTGCACTCAGGGTTATATGGCAGCGTTTTGGAGTGCATTAACGTCACACCTCTAATGAGAAGCCCACTATTTTTTAACATAGTGTGAAAGTACAAGAGCATATATCTCCACTACCTGCGCTGGCATAGATCAGAGCAGGCCAGAAAATGAGGCTAAGTAGAATGCTGTGGGCCAGTAAAAAAGAAAATGGTTGTGTTGTGAAACTGTCAAAAGAAGCTGAAGGGTACATATTTTAGTTTTAGTTAGTAGTTTCAGGGTATAATTATTTCGTCAATGTCATTTACTGTCGTGTTTTAAAAGGTGCACTGTGTAAACTTCTTGCTATCTCGTTCTCTCAGGTATAGAAAGATGCTATTGCTGTCGTGCATTTATCCCAATGTTTTACTGAAGAAAAAATCCTTTCAAAAAGAAGTTTTCTTACTGTGAATAGGATGCTTCTCCACAGACCTGTGACTATGCTTGTCTCCATGGTACTATGTCAGTTATGTTCACGGTTTAATGTATACCATTCCAGCGACAGCATCTTCATATAGACAAGTATTTTTGCGTGTAATGTTCCACAGTAGGTTATTAAATGTGTATTTTCCCGAGATCGAGGATTTAAAGCCAGAACAAAAGAGAATGTTTGGGGAATTTTATCAAGGGGGAAAGACGTTATTGCCCTTCTTCCTACAGGATTTGGCACATTACACGTCATGACCAAATAGCAGTGATTGGTTAAATAAATAAAGTACCCGCCTACCATCGAGCAAACCAATCCTAATGCTGCGAGGTCAGACAGTTTCCATGAAGTGAAACCGACTGATGAATCAGGCTAGTTACACAGTGCACCTTTAAATACATATATATAAAAACATACATCTTGTCATAGGATTTTTCTTTTACCAATGCATATATCTTCAGCTAATTGAGGTCAGCACAGGAGGAACATGCCATGAGTTATAACTGGTAAAGAAAATGTAGCTCCACACTGTGTTTTGTAATACAGTATATGTTTACTTATGAAAGCCCAGTGACAGAACAGCGTGTGTTCTCTCAGTACCTAATTTGCCCTAAAGTATTGTTGTGTCTCTACACGTTTTATTTAATTGTAATTTGAATGGTATTTGGGTTAACGTAACTGGAGTAATTACTTACAGTAGTTCCGTTTCTCACTGCTTAACATGAGAATGAATGGCACATAATAACAGCTATTGTCACCGTCCATAAATTTTATGCTTGAAACTTTGTCTTGTCGTTTTGAAACCAGTCTCTTTATGTGGTTTTAAAGGTGCACTATGTAACTTTTCTGATGGAAGGTCTGTCCAGAAAATTCCATAGTAAGACATTAAAAGTAAAGTTTTTAAAGTTAGAAGGTCAGGTCTGAGGCGTACCCTCCACTAGAAAAAAAAAAAACAAGATGACACTGGGGATGTAAATCAGAATCAGAATTTGCATTAACTGGTCCTTCTCGAGCCACAGTATCAACCAGTCCTAGACACTTTGATTTTGACTTTCACAATGCAGCCTGCTCCTCAGCTGTCACCTGCTCACCTACTGTGAAACCGCCGCTCTCCTTTATTTATTTCCAAAATGTCTCTCACACCCCCTCTACCACTCCTTTGTAGTGCCGGAGATAAGCCGTGCTAAATCCAATAGTGAAGAATAGTGGGGATGTGAGGGTTTCTCCGAGCTGCCAGCATTTACCAGACAGTCAGCTGTTAATAATAGACGGCCATCTTTGTTTAGGCCCCTGTTCTCAATCCTTCTGGCCCCACCTCTCGGTCCGCCTCCAATTCTGGGACTAATTCCTCTGCGGACGGGGTCGATTTGATGGAAGCAGGTAGCAGACAAGGAGCATTAGAATTTAAAATAGAATCTAAGGACCCTATCAGTGACTGTTGCTATTTCAGGAGCTGTGGTTGGCTCCTTCCGCTGTCCCAGCATCAAAAGTGGTGATGTAACCGGGGTAATTCCTGTGCCAGGGCAGGGTTAATTACAAGGACATCAGAGGCCTGAGAGCAAGTAGAAACAGACACCTTCAGCAAAGGAAAATTCAGCAAGAAAAGTACTGTATAAAAAACATAAGTCTATTGGATTTGTCATGGCAATGTTTTTGATTCAAGAAAAGAAAAAAGAAAAAACTAAACAAAATGCAGTGCCACTTTTTTCATGCAGCTTATTTGATCACTTCACTGTAAATATACAACACAATTAACATAAAAAAAATTTAAATAAAATCTTAACAATGACAAGGCCTGTCACGATAACAAATTTTGAAGTTTGATATACTGCTCAGGTAAATATAAAGGACAAACATTAATCCATCCATTTTCTTCCATTTATCCGGAGTCAGGTCGCATGCGCAGCAGTCTAAGCAGGGACTCCCAGACTTCCCTCACCCCAGACACTTCCTCCAGCTCCTCCATCCATAATACTGAAACAAATTTATGCCACTCTTACTATAACACAAAAGCAGATTTAAAGCACAAAAACAATTCTAAATCTAAAATATCAACTCATATTTACAAAACCATGAGCTATATTATAATCGCAAATACTTGTAAATGCATATTGTAATTATCGTGACAGACAGGCCTATGACAGCTGTAATCTTTAGCTGTTAGTTTAGCTGTTATCACCAAATGTCATAGACCCATGTCAAAGAGAGGCAGTTTGTAGTAGCGGCTGCTGCAATGACAAATACTTTTGATATTGTATTGTATTGTATTTTTATTTATTTATTTATTTTTTACTTTAGCAGTATAGGCTATTTCATTAAAAACGTTTGCTTCATTTTACCTCAGTCAGTCCCCAAGTCTTGGATTAGAGCAAAGGAAAGGAAGTCAGTTAAACCCTAATGGCCTGAGAAGATTAATTGCTTTTAAGACCAGATAATAGGGCTGCACAACAATATATAGTAAACAAATAAGAATTGCAGTTTCAGTTGGCACAATTATCCCATCACAAAGGCTGTAATTATTGAGGTAAGAATGTGATTGAACAATATAAACTCTGAACATAATCCTACTTTTTCAACACAAATCTAATCATAATTGCAATACTTGACAGAAAAATAAGAAATAAAACACAAACAGTTGCAGAAATCACTGTATGCTGTGTATGGCATGATGGCAACGACTCCGAAAGAACCTGAACTTGCGATTTTGTCTTTGGCATTTCAGACAAGAGCCAATAGAGACAGCACACAAAAATAGGCAATACCAGGAGGCCCCAGTCTGCAGGTGTCTGTTCAACCCTTTAATACTCTCCCTGGAGAATCCTGGCAAGGTCTTACAAAACACAATCCTTTTTTTTTTTTTTTTTTTTACCTCTTCATTGTATTGTTTCACCTACGCAGTGTCCCGAATCCACCTTTACTGCTACTGAGGGGACCGGGGGAACACCAAAGCTGACTTTTGACCCGACTCTCCCTCGCACTACTCTACACACGTTGGGAAAATCTAGTGGTATAAAATGATCAGCGCGCGGGATTTGCAGGTTAAGGGCGCTTAGGAATAGGGCTTTTAATGTCATGACGTCACATTAATTAGTGGCCACTTTGATCCCTTCAGCTCCTAAGCCCCAGCTCTGCTCACTGAGACTGTCTGCGCACACGAGATGATGCGTTAGTGGCTATCCAGGGATCGTGGAGGACCCAGTGCATGTGTGGCTGTAGGGTCACTGCTTTTCCACGCTTTTTTTCAGGTGATGTTATTGTAAAAGGGATACAACTAAAGAAAGGGGATCGCTAAAGTTGTCAAAATGGCCGACAAGGATAGTGTGGAGAAATACCTGGAGAACAACCCACAATTCGCCAAAGAGTATTTCGACAAGAAGATTCGCGCCGAGGCCCTGACCGCCGCCTTCAACGCCAACCTCGAAGTAAAGGACACCGCGTCGTTCAAGGATGTTAACTCCGTCCAGGAATCCGCGATCATCTTCGAGCTGGTCAAAGAGCTGCAAAAACCCGGGAATATGGAGCAGTCTCTACACAAAGTCATGCAGAGAATTGCGCTCATCATTCAGGCGGACCGGGTCAGCTTTTACGCGCTACGGGCACGGAACGGGACGCCCGAGCTGTCCACATGTCTCTTTGACGTGACCCCGACGTCCAAATATGAAAGTAACATAGTGCACCCGCAGTCCGAGATCGTGTTTCCACTGGACATCGGTATCGTGGGCCACACCGCGCACACCAAAAAGCCCCAAAATGTTCCTGACGTCACAAAGGTGAGCCTAAATGCACAACTTTTATTTAACACGTGTAAGGCACACACACACACACACACACACACACACAAAATGCCTACATAAACGTGGCCTATTGTCTAATGAAGTAAAGAATTACTTGAACTTTAATCTTTTGAGTTCCTCTGATGTAAAATTAGCTTGGAACATGACAGCCGATTAGATGCCAACAAGATAATTGGCAATTCAGACTTGTCAAATTAACTAATTATAGAATGGCCTGATTTCCATTAATTTCCCAGGGACAGTGTAGTCTATTTAAGTGTTTCTAAAAGTAGGTATATAAGTTTAAAAACATTAAATATATATCTAATTATTTTACCAGTTAAAAAATGCAATAAATGAAAAAAAAAGGCTACATGTTTGGATTTTCAGTTATCATCTGTCTCGCTTGTAGTTTTCTTTAGGCCTATAGTTCATAGCCTACCCCCATCTGACAAGTTTGGAAAGAAACTAGCAGTAGTGAATACCACATAGGCTTACAGTGGATTTACAGATATTGATTTACACTTTTGTTGCTCATCCTAAACTTATTTCTGAACTGTTTTTTCCCCCTGAACCAGAACCCAAAATTCAGTGACTTTGTGGACAAACAGACAGGATACAAGACCAAATGCCTGCTCAGTTTCCCTCTCATCGCTGAAAAAGAGTGCCTTGGTGTCGTCATGGCGCTTAACAAAATCGGAGCAGATGCTTTCACTGCGGAAGATGAGGCGGTAAGGAAATCACACTGTAAAGAATGGACACGAAGATCAGCCGTAACATTATGACCACTGACAGCGAGTTAAGATTGGCACCTACTTGTGGATTAAGCAGCACACAGAGAACATTTTGACCTCAAAGATTATTTCATTCATTAGAAAATTGCAAATTTGCCAGTATTGTCATTGTAAATAAATAGCATGCCTGTTGGATTTTCAAAAACATATGCATCTATAAAGAGTGGCTCAAGGAGGAATTAACATTAGTGAACAGGGTGCACACAAGAACAGATGTACACTACTGTAGCTCACATTGCTTATTTTGATAGAAAGCTACCAGAATACACAGTAGATTGTTTTTGGGACCGCTAATAAGCCAAGGTGGTAATGCTTTATTTTTATAGTGTAACTTTAGGAGCAGTCTGGGCTTGCTTTGGCTACGCACAAGAACATTGGCTGGTAATGAGATTAGTGGTTGAAATAGAACTTGATACTGTTATATCAGAGAATATACACTACTCTGTGTTTGGGTTGAATGCCTTCTAGGGCTGTGTATATCAAATTTATAATTGTGATCTTTGAATCTGTTATTGCTCTAATCAATTACAAAAATGAAAGTACAGTTGCATAATGCATGTTCTTCTTGCTTTCTCGTACTTTGCAAAACCTGGAGTCTATTCTGCAGTGGAAAACTAAACTCTCTCAAAAACATAAAAAAAGGATTACATTAGATCTATACTTCTACAGATTTACAGATTACTTTTGATATTATAGAAGCATTTGTTTGAAAAATAAATGAACATTTCAATTATGAGCCAACTCTCACAATGAAGCAGCCCCAAAGCTTTCTATAGGGTTTAACAACGGCTCCTCCACAGATAACACTCCTGTCTGTTATGCTATAGGGGGAATGTGAATGAACAATGGCAAGCATGGCGAGAATAAAGCTGGCAATTTCAGGGTCACTCTTTTTGTATTCACATAAATGAATTGAAAACAGGAGTTAAAGAAAAGCAAGTGAAGGTTCAGTGCGCATTATTCAGAAAGCATTGAAATAAACAGCATATAAGACGCATTATAAAGTCTAATGCAGTGTATCTATTAGAAATGCTAGGTCCGATATTGACTGACAATGTTGTTTTTAAAGAAGCCTGTTTATTCCTGACAAAAATTATTGATTTACGTGGATTGTCACAGACTCAAAAATGTTAAGATTCTTGGGGAGAAAGAGCTTTATTCATGGGTTTCAGCATGTTTTCCATGGTAAAAAAATCATGTAATCAATAGGGAAACTGTCTCTTGTCGCCAATCACATTCTAGAATCTGAAAACAACCAATATTTAGTTTTTAAATTGTTAATCGCTATAGCAACAGCCTTACATTGTCACCATTCTGAAACCCATGGATAGACACCCAGCTGATGAAACAAATAAAAATGTCCTACAAATACATCTTTAAACATAGGTGCTGTGTTAAAATTAGAGTTTAGAAATAAAGATGACAATAATTTAAAAAAAACAAAACAAAAAAAACAGGTTAACTTGATTGTGACTATAAATGTCCTAAGTTGGCTGTTTACACATTTCTTTGTTACATGCAAATTATTTTGTGATGTCTCCAGCTGTTCCACAAGTACATGAGTTTTGCCCAAGTGATCGCGCTGCAGCACTACACCACCTACATGTTCAATGTGGAGTCCAGAAGGAGTCAGGTACACGGTGTACCAATATGCCATAGCTCCTCCAGAGTGTGTGTACCCTAGGTAACACTAGAGCCTGTAGAAATTCATTAGAATGTATTGTTGTGAAAAAGTCTACTTATTTAAATGCTAATTACAACTCATTTTCATAGATTTTTTTTATACATTTGGTACTTTTATAGTATTCTGTAGTATCTCTTTCTGTATCACTGGGCCTCAGGGGAGCACATTTCGTTCTGTCATGTGTTTCTCTCACATGTTTGAATGACAAAATAAAGAACCTTCCTTCCTCCTTCCTATTTTTAAGCCTACTACACATTGTATATGTTTGGGGGAAACGTAATTTAAAGCAAAAGTATGTGTAATTAGAAGTTATGTAAATAATATTAGTATGACTTGTAGTTTTAGAATTTGCTCCTGTGCTGTTGGAGTAACATTTGTACTACTGATTACTGAAGCATTACAGCAAACAGTACAGTGCAGTAATTGCTGGATTTTGCATCACAACATTCTATTTAATACAAATGGGGGCAGTTAAAATTCATATTGTTAAGATGCATTGTTATATAGTAATTGCTGTGATCTAGTCTCTAAAAGAAGTGACCAGGTTCGACATTTGTGAATTCACCTTTTGGATATTTCAAAAGAGAAAACTGGCTTTTGTCCCCCGTCTGGGAGTATGACATCATTACATATTAATGAAGCTGAAAAAAACAAACAAAATTAACACCAAAAAACTAAAACTATTACATAATTTAAACTTTGACTTGTGTAACACTGTATTGAAGTACTTTTTTAAACTTTTTTACTTTTCACTTTTGACCCACAGTTTACCCCTTATGTTTACCTTGATTTATTTTGCTTTGCTCTAACAGTTTGTACTGTGTTCAACAAACCTCAATTATTCATTTGTTACTTTGTTCACCTCCAGGTCCTGCTCTGGTCGGCCAGCAAAGTCTTTGAAGAGTTGACAGATATTGAGAGGCAGTTTCACAAAGCTCTCTACACTGTAAGAACTTACCTCCAATGTGAAAGATACTCAGTGGGCCTGCTGGACATGACAAAAGAAAAGGTTAGACCAAATCGCACTCTGGTCAATTTTGTGCATTTGTAGCCGCAAGAACTAATAGAAAATACCATTTTTACTTCTTTTGTACTCTTTAGGAATTCTATGATGAATGGCCGGTTAAATTGGGAGATGTGGAGCCATATAAAGGACCCAAAACACCAGATGGCAGGGTAACGTCAATTCTTTGTTAATTTTTCTATGAGACTTACACAGTTTCTCTTCCATTGAGTGACTAACTAGTGTGTATCTTATCCAGGAAGTAGTCTTTTACAAGATTATTGACTATCTGCTTGAAGACAAAGAAGAAATTAAAGTCATCCCGTGAGTAGAGTATTTACCAAGGCTGTTTTGATTGTCATGGCAAATAATGAGCAATTTACACACAGTGCTATATTTTACGTCAGATGCCCTTCCACTTACAGCCATTAGGATGCATAGTGACAAGACCTATTTAACCTTGTCACAGTGGTGTCCCTTCATCATTAACATACTGATTGATTCATGCATGTTTGAGTAATCCTGTATTGTTCTGTATTTATGTCAATATTGCAGTTTATAATGAGCAAAATATAAAATTATCAACATATGTTTTAGTTCAATACTAAGAACCTTGTGAAAACAAATCATCTTTAACCATTTGATTGGAAATATAGTAAAAATAATGATGAAAAATATTGTTAACACAAGGGCATAGCATTTTCTTATTTTAAAAATGAATTGAACTACTCGAATGGCATCATGGATTGAAGCAAATATTGAAAGTTTGTGTTATAAAAGCAGCTTTCTACGTGGCAGCCAAAGCTTTTTAACATTCTGCTCAGGAAGAGACTGTCTCACTCCAGCTCACACATCTTATATTTCTCTCTTTCACACTTTTTAGCGGTCCGCCTGCAGATCACTGGGCCCTAGTTAGCGGACTACCAACCTACGTCGCAGAAAATGGCTTTGTAAGTCTTCCACAACAGCTTTGGGGCAGTCGCAATTACTGCAGCACCCAGGAAAATACAAATAGAGAAAAATAGAGGAGTTGGGTTGTGAAATGAAGACAGAGAGATAGCAAGAAAAGTCAATACCAACAGGCTGCAACAGTGTGCTAAAAACATGAATATATGCAGGGCGGTGCATGCTTCAGACTTAAGTAACCGAGATGGCGAAAGGCGTAAATGATGAAGAATGTCTTGTGCTTTTGCCCTCCTCCAGATCTGTAACATGATGAATGTGGCTGCAGACGATTACTTCGCTTTCCAGGTAATACATTTGTCCAGTACATGTAAATACACGTGTTCTGATGATACTGTTATTTTGGATTATACAGTCTAAAATTTGGAAATATTGAAGTTGCACTATATAATTTTACTGTCTCCATGGATATCATAGACAGTATGCTTGTATATATAAATGGACATAGCTTCCGGCTCCATCAAGTCTGTTTCTAAATGACTTTACATAGAAAAACTGTCACCCCTCTTTGTGTAACTGCTACAGTGAACCTCATTTTGAACTTAAAATATTTGCATTGCTCTACACAATGCAAGTGTTGTCATTTTGTTATTTGTCCGTAAATAAATTCCTGTTACTAATATGGAACGCAGCTCAGAATTCTCCCCTATGACTGCTGGCCTCATGAGCTTCATTTGACTGGAGCCAAACACTGTGGGTGACATCACACTGCTTTAGTCCACTTTTGTATACAGTCTATGATGGAGACGTCATTTGTTCAGCTAGAATGTTTCACAGTATGGCATTAGACGATCTAATAGGAATAGATCAAAACAGGAGGCACTACGAGGCTAAGTTATAAGTCTGTTCTGTGCAGACGTGGCCCCACTTATAGTAAGAACATTTGTTTTTCACTTGTAATAGAATAAATGCTAGACTGATAAGTTGAATACCCCACTGTGGAACATTCTGTGCAAAGCAATGATATTTCCATGGGGACAAGCAGGTGATGGATCCCACATCCAGCAGACAAGTTACATAGTGCACATTTAATGAAAAAAGTTATGCGCGAAATGGAAATTAAAACCATACCAAGAAAAAAATTACATCAGTGAAAGATTAACATAGCAACTATCCCAATTTTGCACTCTACAATCTGTTTTCATTGTCTTATTTTTTTATATATTTTTCCAGAAAGGACCAGTGGATGAGTCTGGATTCGTCATCAAAAACTGCCTGTCCCTGCCCATCGTCAACAAGAAAGAAGAAATTGTTGGCATCGCCACTTTTTTCAACAGGAAAGATGGAAGACCTTTTGATGAACACGATGAGCAGATCACTGAGGTGGGGAGACTATATTTCCCAGTCCATGTTTATTCCTTATCTCTTCACCCTGTCTAATTTGCAAGTTTACATTAAAAAACACACAACAGGTGCAGAGTCTCTATTAAGACCATATTGCGGCATACATTTGCATATAAATAGCCTGCTTAGTTATCTTCATCAGCACCATATGAGCTTTACTTACGTCTTACTGTATGTTCAACTGTTATCACTTTACTGCTTTGTTGGGGAATTAATTGCGTTTTTTACACTAAACACTTAAAAAATACATAATAAAGATGAGTTGATATCAGAATATTAATCATAATTCTGTTAGGTTTTTTTTTTGTTTAGTTTGGTGGTCAAAACTACTCAAATGCAGATTTCTATTCAAAATTCAAGTAAGAAGTTATATGTTACAATTACTTGAATGATTTTTCTTTTTTTTTTTCAGGCCCTGACACAGTTCCTGGGTTGGTCCGTGCTGAACTGTGACACTTATGATAAGCTGAACCGCACTGAGTACAGGAGAGAGATCGCTCAGGAGATGCTGATGTATCAGACCAAGTGTACCCCAGCTGAACTGCAGTCCATCCTGGTGAGTCAGACATACATCATTTATTTACAAAAACGATCAGTATTCAAGAACAGAAGTATGATCTTTAAAAACAGGCTTTAGAAAATGGGATTTTCTTGTAGCTTTCAATAGTTTGTGAACTGAAGCTTGCTACCGAGTTTTATCCTTATGCCATAAAATAATGAAAATTTTCCAATAACTTTGTTGTCAGACATGGAGACTCTTGATGTTGTACTACTAAATCTACTAAATCATATATGTTACATTCAAACTAGTACCTTTTAGTTTCATCTTCCCTCCTTCAAATCAGTATAACTTTCTTCCATTAGTATATCATCATAGTATATATACATAGTATTAGTATAGCATCATAGTTTTTGTCAATGCCATTTTTTTGTTGTTGACTACAATAAATTATCAAAAACTTTACCCAAAAGTAGACATTTTGTCAATTATATTTAGATATTAAAGCTAAAAAGATTTATTTGAAAACACCAAACCAGTATTTTTAGTTAAAAGACTAAATAGTAAAAATGAATACTGATTAAAATTTGTTTGTTTATCTTATGTTATGTTTAGGATTTTGACAATTTAACATAATAATAATAACTTTAAACCATTTACTTATGTTCCTAGAATACTAAAGAAAAGTTTGATGCCGACCCTGAAGACTGCGATCAGAAGGAGATGTACAAATTACTAGTAAGTATTGTGAAATTCCAAAACATACTCCTGCTTAAAAATCTCAAAACTACCTTGGTATGAATTATAAATGAACTGTGCATGCCAGTAATGATTTGGTGGTATTTTTGTACAGCGAGCCAACATCCCACCAGCTAATGATGTGAATGGAGAAGACCTGTATAAATTCTCCTTTAGCGACTTCCCTGTCTCTGAGTTTGACCTCATTAAAGCTGGCATTCGCATGTTTTTTGAGCTGGGAGTAGTTGAGAAATTCAAAGTCCCCGCTGAGGTGTGTACATTTAGTTACCATAGTTACAATAATGTTTTATAGTTTTGCTTTTCTTGTGTGTAACGTTGATTCTTTCCTGCTTTCAGACTCTGACCAGATGGATGTATACAGTGAGAAAGGGTTACCGAGACATCACTTACCACAACTGGAGGCATGGCTTCAATGTGGGCCACACCATGTTTTGTCTGTTGCAGGTAACAATTGTACTAACAAGGCATACATCTACAAGGAAAAAGAAAAACACAAAACATGCACATAATATAAAAAAAATTTTTGCAGTGCAGAGATAAACCACAAATACCCAGTAAAGTAGAAATGCCAAAAAATTAGAGCCTAAATCACAATTTTGAAATAACACAATTCATGTATATCTAGAATCTTTATATTATCTTCTGTAAAGGTGAATTATGTAACTTTTCTGGTGGAGGGTCTGCCTCTTGCTTGCCTCAAGAGAGATGTTACGGCTTTGGCTGGAATATCCCACTGTACGTTATTAAACTTATCTATGCCCTTGAAGACTAGGCCAATTTACAGGTCAGATCTGTAGAGAAGTGATCCTTTTTGCAAGATAGACAAGGTTAATTACATATGGAGGCACAATCCAGGCAAAGCAATGGAGACAAGAAGGTTGCAGACCTAGATAAAAAGTATATAGTGCATCCTTTAGAGGGAACTAAAACTATAAGATACTTCTAAGTGGGCAGGGAAAAATGTGCTTGAGCATAGAGTAGCATTAAACAGTGACAATATTACTAAAATATCATATTAACATATTGGATCATAGGGATGTTCTTGTTCAGGATTAAATACCATAAAGTATCATAACTATGGTAAACAGAAAACTAACACTTTGTAAGCCCACTGTTAAATAAAAAAAAAAAAGTATTCACCTCACTACAAATGTTCCGTAATACTTTCCCTTTGTAGACTGGGAAACTGAGGAAATACTACTCTGATCTGGATGCCTTTGCGATGGTATCTGCTGCTTTCTGCCACGATATCGATCACCGAGGAACCAACAACCTCTATCAGACAAAGTAAAACCAAAATGTCAATGTTGCTGTACAAACTTGAACAACAATAATACCACTTTTTGTTTTTTTTGGTTTACAGGAGCGCACATCCTCTGGCCAAACTGCACGGATCATCTATTCTAGAGAGGCACCATTTGGAATACAGCAAAACGCTAATGGGCGAAGAGGTATGCTACACAAAAGCTTATATTTCTGACCAGATTGTAGGCATTGAAAGGTTTTTAAGTAAATAGTGTTTTATTTTCTAGGCATTGAACATTTTCTGCAACCTTCAAAAACGTCAATTCGAAACTGTACAACACTTGTTTGACGTCTGCATCATTGCCACCGATCTGGCTCTTTACTTCAAGTCCGTAACTGAATGATTACTGTGAAATTATAATGAATTTGCACATATTTTTGTATTTTAGTTATAAATTCATACATTTTTTGGTACAGAAAAAGAACCATGTTTCAAAATATTGTCAACGCCACTGAGCCAATGACAGATGAAAAAGAAGCCACTGCTTACATTTCCAACAACCCTGTCAGGAAAGAAATTGTGATGTATGTATACTATTATTTTTATACAAGTAGATCATTGTCATTCATTAAAATAAATAAGAGAATAATAATACTAATAAACATGCAAATTGTTTTTTTATTGTTTTATCAAGGGCTATGATGATGACCGGCTGTGACTTGTCTGCCATTACGAAGCCTTGGGAAGTGCAGAGCAAGGTTGTCCAAAGAAACAATTTCTCAAAAAGACAAATGGAAAAAATAACAAGATGTGAAAAACAAACCCACACCGACTTCTGTAATTAATCACTGAAAAATTGTGTTTCCCTCAGGTGGCTCTGATGGTTGCAGCTGAATTCTGGGAGCAGGGTGATTTAGAAAGAACTGTGCTAGACCAGCAACCAATTGTAAGCCTTTTTTAATTTATTCACTTGGAACTCCTGATTTTTGGTGGGAAAATGCAGTAAACAGTTGTCTTTTTTTCAGCCCATGATGGACCGAAACTGTTCAGAGCAACTGCCCAAGATGCAGTGCGGTTTCATTGACTTTGTGTGCTCATTTGTGTACAAGGTAAGGGAATAACAAATTAATACATGTTTATATTACTAGGCTACACAAGTCATGCAGCCTACTGAAATATTGTTCTTCTTTGGGGTGATTTTTAGGAGTTTGCCCGATTCCACAAAGAGATCCAGCCTATGTTTGATGGACTGAACAACAACAGAGCACACTGGAACGAACTGGCTGAAGTATACAATGCAAAGATGAAGGCCATTGAGGATGAGAAGAAGAAACTGGAGGGAGGCGGCGAAGAGAAAAGTAATACATGTGATATCTCTATTAAGTAAGTTATATATTTCAAACACATTTCTTCACAATTCTTTTGTATGTTTGTTTTAGCTGAAGGGAAGTCAAAGACCTGCTCCATCTGCTGAAACTATACATCTGCACTAATGAGGACTGCTGTTGGCTACACTTATCTCTCCTGGTCGACAGCTCTGAAGTCCTGCTTCTTTGTGAGCCTGCTCTTTCTACTCTGAAGGACTTTTTTGTTCTAAGATGGACCAGTCTACGTGTCCTGGACACAGAAGAATTGTAGTATATAGACACAGTACATGTCTCCATGTACAACAGAGCTATTACAGATCTTGGCTTCAAGGTAGCAATTAAGGATCTTTGACCAACAAGGTTGGCAACCGGCAGATAAAGGCATATTAATCAGAGTTGTAAATGTCACAAAGGTTTGTTTTATGCCAAAGCACAGATAGATGCACAACGCACTTAGCTGCCACTGGTTTGGCAGTCGAGCTGAAGGTTACTGTTGAATAATGGTGAACAGGTGATTGGAATATTCTAAAACTACATTTGGTTATATAGTACAGAGTTTGACATGGCTTTTACAGTAGGCTGTCAAACCTTTTTACTCAGGCAAAGATTTGGTATGTATGTATGCAGTTTCATTTTATTACCATCATTTAGGGTGCGTTCACACTTTATACACATTATATTCAGACCAGGAACTAAAGCTGGACTAGACTAAACCAGGACTAAACCAAGTCTACATCAGGACATATTGTGCTCAAACCAGGGAAAGTGTGAACCCACCCTTTGACTTTCGGAGGGTTTTTATACTTGAATTATCTTGGATGAAGAATATTGGACAGTGTTGAAAAATGCAAACACCAAGTTTCATGCATAAGTATGCACAGACAGCTTTCACACCGAGCTGTTTGCACTGTGTAAATGTTTAGTAAAATAATATAATGTAGATGTAACAAAGACATTTCTGAAATGTACGTTTTAATTGTAAATAGATAAAACACAGAGAATGTAAATGAAAAAGTTGATGGAAACCCATTTCTTTCACAAAACTTAAATCACAAAGTTTAGTGAAGACATTGTTTCACCTAAATCATTGTGATGTCAGTCAGGAGATGTACACTGCTTTTATTTAAACCACTCAATACACACGAGGGTAGACCGGAGGCTGCCACCATCCTTAGTACAAACAATTATGAGCCTAAGGTACTGAGACTATAAACACTAGCAGTGTCAACCGGGTGCAAATGTCAATCCTTTAACTCTAACCCATAACGGAACCTGTTCTGTTGGGCATTAGTGGGCAGCATGTACTCTGCTATTTCAGAATCACTTTGGATTTCTCCTTCCTTAAGCAAACTTAGGCTGAAGCTCTCGTTGTGTGGTTACACAACACAATGCCATTTCCTTTAATCAATGGGGCATTGACCAGTCTCCTAATCCAATCAGAATGGCTTTGGGAATACCAGGAAACTCTTTGGTTGGAGCAGAGTGACACCATGCTCATGACTAGAGTCAGGACTGTTTTCATGTACAGTGCAGCGTACAGTTTGTATCAGCACTTTCTGACTGCAGAGATACAAAACATTGGTATCTTTAAAACAGAACACAGCAGGTCTGTACATGCCATGTGGTGCATTTATGCAATACCAGACAATGTGATGAAGCTTTTAGAAACTTAAAGACCCTTACTGTATGTGTCCTGATATGTATTATATATGTATGCAAATAAAGACTATATGGTGGTGTACACACCCAAAATGGCTTTTTTGTGACTGTTCAAACCCTGTGTATTTCCTGTTGCATGCTTAGCTCTCATATGGAGGTTAAGACAGAGACAGGGAATGAACTGAAGACACCTCAGGCTTAGTCATATATCGTGCAGGGATCTTCAAGGCCTCAAAGCTGGATGAGCCCCCGAGGAAAGAGGATCAGTGGATTGGAACTGATCCTGCCTTGATAAAATGTTGCTTAACCCGCTGTATATTGCCATCCAATCATTTTGTGTACAAGGGAAGATTGATTTCAAGTATAAATATGCAAATGAATGTTATGTTAATACTATAAGACCAGTGCTGTTTATGCATGGACGTCCATCACCATGAAACACGTTATAGTGTTTCTGTCCTAGTTTCAGAGTGACACTTTATTTGAAAAAGTACTGTTCATTTGCACATTATTTTTTGAACATGTACGGAAAAATTTGTTGAAGCCTAAACATATTTCTTGTACTAAAATAAATCATTGCGAGCTAGTATCTGTGATAACTGATAGTAGAAAAATATAAATGAAATTATAGTAGTAACATGAGAAACAGTACGTGTAACAGTTGTAAGAGGGTACCAAATTATGATAACTGCCCCTTAATTAGCATTAAGAATGACTCAGGCTTAGTAACTACTTAATTAAAGGGCTAAGGGTTAGGAGATACTAAGTACTTAATTAAAACCCTAAGCCTGAATGATACTTAATTCATAATGAACAAAAAGTAGGAAGTCCTTTATTAAGGTCTACTAAAGTATAGTTGATACAAAGTGTCACCTGTAATTGTATTAACAGATTCAACAGTATCATTAATTGCATCAGTAAGACTTAATTGCTTACAACATGCTTTATAACTGTAGGGGAAGTTGTGACCTACCGGCCATTACCTGTATTTTCCTGGGGTTACCTTTAATGAATAGACCAATTTACTACATTTAACTACCTGTTAGTGTAAATCAGTAGATATCACAATGTAATTTACTTTTCATTCCCGAGGTGTACAAAGTTAAAACAAGATCGACAGAGCGCTAACATGGCAAAGTAATTGTCTTGCTCTAAGCCAAGGCCCATAATCTCCCGTAACCTCATGTACTTTCCCTCTTTGCCGACTGGATGCAGTGTGCGATGTGTCCTTCGCCCATGAAAGTGGCTAATTCCTGTTTCTGTTTATAAGGGCAAAGATCTGTGCGCTACAATAATTTTATTATTTATCCTGTCTTTGTTTGAAGGAAAGCCAACAGAGCAAGTATATGAAAAACTAAGATGTGTTGTGCAGGTAAAAGTGATCACAATCTAATCTTTGAAAGTATCTGACATTTGAGCAATTGTAATACAGTTTGAGATATACATACAGACATAGCAATAGGAGTGGCAAAATACTGTTATCATGTCATAAAGCTTTACTAATTGTATGTTATTTTTTTATGGACATTTTTTGAAAGCAATACTATAACTAGTTGTCAAGCCAGTTTCCCCTATTTCGATTTGCTAACTTGTTTCTTGCATATTCCATGTATTATTAATGCCATTATTTTTTAAAGAATGCAAAAAATACTGCATTAATCCACCCCACTTAGTTGAGTGAACCACCTTTGTAGCCAGTTGACCAATGGTGGCTTCAGATCTGCACCAATGGCCTCTCGAACCACCATCTCAATAGACTCTGTAGTATAGTGTCTGTTTACTGTGTTCACTCACCTTTCACGTGTGAAAGGTGAGTGAAGTGCCTTGCCCAAGGATAAATTGACAGTCTGAACTGGTTGGAGCAGTTATCAGACTACCAGCCTTTAAGTTAGCTGCTGAATGCTCCAACCACTGAGCCACTGCACGATGTTACAATGTAGAGGTAATACGTATTTTTCTCATCAAAGGCATTGTTTTGGTCTATTGCACAAAGGTAAAGCTTTCCACTCCACAATTCCCTCTCATTTCTGTTTGACAAAAAGAAACAAGACAAATATCCAGCATGTACATTAAAGTAAGATGCGATAAGCCGAGATAAAAGCACTGTTAGTATGAGATGGGACTACACACAGACAGTGGTAAATCTTTACGAAATTGAAGACAGTGACAGGAATTGCGTGAATATTCTGTTTATTTGTGTTTCTGTATTGGGGGAATGTTTGCACTGTGCCGATATGTCAGGGGAAAGTTTAGTCGCAGCGGGGTTACAGCTGATAGTGGCGCCGTCAGAGGAACATGTCTTCAAAGTAGTCCTCAAACTCCTCCTCCCTGAACACAAGAAGCAAATAAATACAGAAATGTTACTTCCTGTCAAGCACATGGGGATTGTAGGGGGATGCAGGCTGACACACAGTTTAATATCCTGGCTGCCTCTGCTGTGGTAAAAATTGGAGGAGTATAAAGCACAAGAGCTGAATAAATAAACAAATAAGACTTTAACTGTGAAGTAAATATGAAAAAAGGCAATGTTAAAATCTCTCCCGGTAAAAAGTCTAAACAAACATTGACTGGTGCAGTAGTAGTTCACTTGTACTGAGTATGAGTCTTTCTAAAGGGAACATATTGAGCTAGATTCTGATCTGTTATAATGTTGTTTCCATGTCAGAATCTTACCTGGAGTTTAGTTTTGTTTCATTCACACATGTTTAACACACAAACCCTGCGTATTTAACCTGAGGTCTTCAAACAGAAAACACTATAGTAATACAGGTGCTCCACTGTGTTTTTAAACTCCATACATATTCTCTCTAAACTACAATCTCTACTGAACTAAAGGTAGCTGTTCACTTGAGAATTACCACTGCATGACATCACAAGATGGAACAGAGTATTTTGAGCTTTGGAGATGTAGACAGACTAATAATAAAGGGTTACTCAAGCATGTGTGAATAAAAAAAACACAACTCTGGGTATGTTTTTGATGAGGTAACAACATTAGAACATGGCTAATAATTTTTGTGTAATATGGGACATTTCATACAGTAAATAAGCTGTAATAATAATAATAGTAGTAATAATAATAATAATAAAAAAAAAATAAAAAAAATAATAATAATAATAATAGTATTGGATATATTTAGAGGGTTACAAAACATTATTAATCCACTCGACACTCCATAGCCACAGCTGCCTTGGGCTACACTCACAGAGGCAAGGCTGCTAATCTGAGTTATTGCCCCCTCCGACCTCCATCAATAACTCACTCACACGTCACATTCATACTAGATAAGGTGGATGAAGTGTCAAAGTATTTGCAGCTGAAATCATCAGCATTCTTTCAGAGTGTAAATCTAACTGGAGGCATGCTCTGTCTGAAGCATTATTACTGTAGTTAGACTTTAATCTGAACTTTATTTTAACACTATAATGAACTACTTAGATTGAACTTGGATGTATGTGACATGATATGTGCTCTTAAACATAAAATTACAGTCACAATGTAGCTCGCGTTAGCCAACAGTTTTTCAGTTAGTCACTCTCTTTTTGTTGAAAATCAAACTCCTAAACAGGACCACGAATGTCCATATTGGTCACAGGCTCTTGAAAATGTTGTGTCCTTAAATCCATTTTGTATTTTTTTCAGTATTTTTAGGCGATCTTAAAACATTTTTCATAGTGTTCACCAACGTGTCCACTGTGTCACCATGGTAACTGTGAAACGTTCCTCCATAGACATACATAGAACACCCCCAGTGTAATGTCACAGCAAAGTATCAATAGTAGCAGCACTTGTTCAACCTGAGCTACTAGTATTAAGTGTATACTAGCAAGCAGCACCAGTAGAGGTAGTAATAATATTAACAAAAGTAGTACAGATGTAGTGCGCTTCCCCTCCAAGTACAGGCTCTAAATAGCGAGTCATAAAAGGTGATTAGTAGCTGGTGGGCTAAGTCATGGTTTCACAGCAGCTTACTGGGCGCCATTTAATATGAACATTAGCTCTTAACCTCACCTTGACTTTTCATCCACCGCAGGAGCAGGGCCTTTCCAGTGGTCTGCCTCTGATTGGCCCTCACACTCCTCTGCTCCCTCTGGGTCTATGGGGACAAGTTAGACAGAGAGCACAAGTCAACTCCCTGAGGACAAATTATATTGATGAATGGATGTCATAGGCGGGCGATACTGTCTCAAGGTGCGGTTCAGTTAAGTTGGTTTTGGCCGAGAAGATTGACGTTGTTATGGCAAATCATGGGTTTTTTGGACGCCGTGCCCACTTTTGACAGGAGAGTAAACGCGCAGAGAAAGCTTGGCAGGTTATAGACCACCAGTTTATTTTGGCTCAAGGGGCCCTTACAGTTTAATCAGCCAGAGCGAAATCAGATTTACACTCGGCAATGTTTGAGTGTGTCAAAATATCAGCTCCGTAACTTTCCTGTTTTTGTTCAAGTCCAAAATAGAAAAAAAAAACACTACAGAGACTTGATGAGAAGTACTGGTCCAGAGGCATTATTTAGGTATTTGATCAAGGTGTGGTGGTATTGGCATTTTGCAAAGTCAGATTTCATATTATTAACACTTTTGTTGAGCATACCATATATTTACTTCAACTTGAGTAATGTAGACAAGGTTTCAAAACCTGAAACCTCTTCTACATTGAACCACCCCTGGATGAATTAGGAATTAGACTGCCCCTACTTGAGTAATATATTTTAGACTGTAACAGTAATTGAGTAATTGTTTAATGTTTGATTAGTATAAAAGTGACAAAAATGTGTGTTTCTAACATTGCTCCTTCAGATTTGATTAAGTTTTTCCCATTTTGTGGTGTTTTGAAAATAAAAGATTTTGTTCTTTATTTGTCCTTCCAATGACATTAACTTCAAAATGAGGATCCGCTCGAAAATGAGACGCTACATCTCAAAGGATTTTATTAAATAAATGTTCCTACAAATTATAAATCTGATGTTAACTCCAGGCAGTTATTCACTTTCACTTGAGAAGTTTCCCCAAATACTTTTTCAGTCTTGAGTACAGAGTACTTGAGTAATTTCCTGGACCACTACTTTGTACTTCTATTCAAGTAATGTAGTAGTAATGAGTGAAGATGTCTTGATCCCACAGATTGGAACTGACCAGTTTGGGATTTCATTCACACACCAAACTCCTACACCAGTGGGCAGTCTGATCTCTTTGTCTGTTGTCAGTCAATGACATTATCTCTCGTCAGAAAAGGTGCTTTTGTGCACAAAACTTTAAGGCCTCTGCCCTCACACAGGGGACTCGGGGGCAAAGACATATTTCATTTCACACAGTGCGGTTATGGGTCAAATAACAGGCACGGAGCAGAGAGAGGGGAGGCTGAGTAGAAACAGTATGGCTGTCAGGATAACACTATTACCCACATGGCTTTAGGGGCATGCTGTTTTTCAGACTCAAAACTGGGGGAGTGTCTTGGAGCAGTATTCTGGGGGAGTGGACGGTGATTTGGCCAATGCTGAGGCCCTGTGGCGGAGGAGGTACTTTTGTGTAAGTGTGAGAGAGGTGTGAATGCTACCTTTGTCTGAGGAGGCGTCTGAGCTGCTGGAAGAGGGCGAATGATCTGGGGAAAATAAAATGGACAGACGTGTCAGAAAGACTTACTGTGGATGTTGTAAAAGTTAAAAGCTGGTTATTTGAGTTTTATTGTAGGGAGACATAACACACGGGTAAAAAATATAGTATGATATTAAAAATAACACTTAACACCAACAGTTTTAAACCATGTCCAAACCTAGGGCTATGCAAATCATCACATTTCAATTGCAATTATGATGATTATTGCTGTAAATGATGACAAATATGCTGAAATGGACTCTTGTATGTTCAGAACCCATGTACCTGTTTCTTTGATTGGAACATCTATTTCTGTTGCACAGGTCACCTACTTTCATTTTTTTCTGTTCATTTTAGGTACACTGATGGTCCACCTTCTCTAAGCACATAATTGCTTGAATAATCCCGATTTTAAATAGGATTTAAGTTGTGATTATTGTTGATATTGTTGATATGTATCAGAACTAACTCAAGACTCTAATACGATATAGATACAATACAATAAAGACTAAAGATGGAAAACCAAAACCATTCTAAGACTAGTGTACAACTTCTTCTATTGGATGACACTTATTGTGATTTCATTTTTGATCCACACAGTTATTGTTGCAATAATAAATATATCACAATTAATTTCTAAGTATTGCACAGTCCAGGAATGTTCTATAAAAAATTGTTCTGAAATATAAAAGTCTCTTGTTGAAAAGATTCTGAGAAGAGAATTTACCACTGCGCTTCTTATGTTTGTGTCTCTCTGAGCGTGAGTGCTTCCTCTTGTGTTTCTTCTTGGGTGATGCCGTGCGATTTTCCTCCAAAACCTTTTTAGTCTTTGTCTTCGCCTTCACCTCTTTCCTCCTGAAAAACAGAATCAGCTATTCACCAAAGACTATTCACAACACTGGACTCCTGATTACAGTCAAGACATCAAATACAAACCCGCTGCTAAAGGGCTCTTTCACTCAATCTCAGTTTGAAGCTGTGAAAAGGTTATGGCTTTCACTAACTCCTTTAAAAAGTCAGCAAGAACAATATAAAAGCGGCTGCAACTGTTCAAAGAGCTGACATTATTTATTCACAACATCATCTCTTCAGATCGCTATCTCCACATAAGCTGCTTCTACGCAATGACTTGCTCTACATCCCGTGCACCTATTTCAATTAAGTGTGAATGCCTCAAAGGGGGATTCGGACAAACTTACTTGTGATGGTAGTTGAGCTTGAAAGAACATTCTGGGCATAATCCTACAACAAGCGAAATACAAAAGAAGAGGACTTAATTACAATGAAAGTGCTGCAGAACAACTAGCAAAACTAAGAGTATTTTAATGGAATACAGAAATATCTTCTCTCTATATCTATATCTAGCCCTGTTGTTGCATATATGTAATTTGGTACAGGCTTTTAAGCAAGACACTCCAAATGTTTTGATTGTACAAGGAAGTGGCAGTGGCTAAAGCTAGAGAGTGCTCGTCAACCAACTCGAAAGTCAGTGGATCAGACCGGCACATACTGTTGTTGTGTCCTTAGGCAAGGCCCTTCACTCACCTTACCAGCTACATGTGCATGAGTGATTGGATGTGCACAGATCAACAGCCACACTTCCATCAGTCTATCCCAAGGCAATTATGGCTACAGAAGCACCTTACCCCCAGTGAGAGTAAAAAGTACTAGTAACTTTTTAACACCTTTTTACAACATTACATTAATTAAACAGCTGAATGCTAAATTAAGTTGTTTTAAACCACAATTTGCACATTCTTTGAGCTTTGGTAAGACACTGTTCTAAATCAGAGCAGGCGAAGTGTTGTTATGTGTGTTTGTAGGTTAAAAAAAAAGATCAGGAGCTGAAAGTTTGTGCTGTACTCAGTAACTTTAATGAATTCATTCATTTTAAATGTAGCTAAATATATTGACATGATTAGAATTATACTCAATTACAACTACAAGTACCATGTGTCCTCAAAAAATACAATTGCCCCCAAAATTTTCTTATTTACAGTTATGCGAGTATTTGTAACTGTTTACTTCCTCCCTCAGTTTATACACATGAATACACCTCATTGTTCTTATAAAACAGTATTTTAATGTTGTCCTAAACCAAAAGTTATCCTTGATTTTTACTGTCAGAAAATTAGGACTTGTTCCATTTGATAAGAACTTTGCTGGCTGTGACCAGTTGTGCAGGCTGTCCTTGGCTGCCTCACCAACTTTGGTGATTGGTGGGACGGCCAATTACCGTAATTATTGTAACAGGATTTTCTGCTCTATGATACCTGAAGGAGGATTATTATGAGCGGGGTATTAGACAGGAGCTTCCATTAGGTCAGAGCTACCAGCCACACACTTGACACAGTTTACAATGAAGAGACACCTTGGCAGAAGAAAATGATGCAATGTTTAGATAAGGCAGAGATAATGGCTTGCTTACGGAGTTTGACCAATGCGTTCCTCTTCTCCCCTTGTTCAACATATGCAAAATTCACCTCCCAAGACTTCAGGCCGTCCTGCATGTCACAGCGTTTATGCCCACACTGGAATTGACCTGAAAGACAAAAAATATATGAAAAGCAAAGTACCTAATTAAGTTGCATCATAGTCAGGAAGTAAGAGGGATTTCAAATTGCCCAGAGTGCAGTGCGAGTCTGCAAGATTCATTCCTCCAGCTAATTAGTAATAGACTGAGATGTGCAATGCCTGAATTTAAATCGTGAAGGAATAATTTTGACAATATTTTAAACAATAAATAAAGTTATATTAATTCATTGAACTATATATGATTACACTATTAATATGTGACTTCTTCATATCAGTGAAGCTTACATTAATATATTCTTTATAACAAAACTAATTAGGACCAAAATTGTAATCTAGCTGTCTTAATATCCTGAACTTGGATTCTCACATTTCTAATCTTTTATTGAACCTGTCACAACTTTTTCATGTGTATTGCTGCCAAAATATTATGAATCTTTTACTTAATTTGCCTGCAATGTTCCACATTATGGCATACAAATTATCTAGCTTTATTCAGTTTAAAAAGCTTGTATGTGGACTTGCCTCTGTACTGATCTGACTGATCTGTAACTTGTCCTGGCAGCGTCATGGCCACCTGCTTGTTGATATTTGATTTCACCATGCCTACTTTGTCTCTAGGGATAGGTAAAGTTTGTCAAATCTGACATAAAATGCTGCATACATTTAATTAGCAGTTGCATTCTGTTTTTGTTCTTCTACTTGTCTCCTTGAGGATTAGAGATAGGCCCCAGGCCTTGGTTCTAATTTGTTTGTGATTTTTGCCAGGTTCTCTTGATTCCTGCTGCAGGAGCCCTCGTTTGTGATTGGTGGGGCAAGTCTACGTGGGGCACCTCACCTGCAGCCACCGCCCCCTATTGAAGGAGATTGCCAGCACCTGTTCGGGGCTGCTGGCCTTGGTGGCCAGTATGCCATTTTTTTCGTGTGTGTGTAGTTTAGTTTATTTCGGTTTTGTGCCTTTTTTGATTTGGTCACTCGATTCTGTTTGTGGGTTTATGTGGTTTAATTTGGGGAACTTGTGTTTTGGTTTAGTGTGTGTCCCTAAGTTTTACCACTCGTTTTTGTGTAAGCCTGTGTGACCCCTTTTCTGGCACAAAACTGTTTATTCTTTTGTTCTGTTTCTTAGGTTAGGTTGTTTTCTGTATATTTTTAGTCTTTTGTTAATTTACCTTTACATTCCTGTTAATTAAACATTATTTAATTTATTCCATTGTACATCTTGGTTTTATTTTTGTTACTTCCCTCACCCCAAACGAGCTGGGTTGTAACATAGACCAATATATCGGTCAGCCTTAAATCTCTAGCAGAGGCCAATATTTTGTCAACCAGGTGCCTAAAATTATGAACAGTTTTATTTGAGTACTTGGACACTGCACAAAATGTGACTGTACAGCTCTCTTATCCAGTTTGTTGTTAAAAAAAAATTGGACAAGTTTGTTGTAAATTTAAATTACTGAAAATAATTAAGTTTGGTGAAAATAATTGAAAATTGAATAATAAGTGAAAGTTCATTGAAAATAATCCAAATTAGCTCAAAATATCTGCCCTTAATATTGGCAGAGTTTATCAGGCATAGATTACTCTGGATTCTAAACATTCGATATCAGCATCGTTCATGAAAAAAAAAAACATATTCTATGTCTACTTTTGATATACGTTTTGTGTCAGATGCCCATCCTACATTTCTAAACCACTTTCTCTCCCATTGCTCTTCCATCCATCCTCTTATCCTCATCATTTTGGACTCCGCCCCCTTCTGGGCTGATCACAGCACCCACCTGCCTGTTATCCAAAAAAGGAGCTTAGGGTGGCACCGATCTGGTTGTGGGATTCCTCTGGATTGTCCCAGAGGGGGTAAGTGCGTCACTCAAATCCATTGTTGGCATGTGCAAAGAGGGGATTGCTTCTTACACTGTCTGAGGGAGAGGGATACCTGCCTTCAGCTGTCCTGGATCAGAGCTGTGACAGTGAGGAGGAGACTGTACGGTCACACTTAGCCTTCACGTGCTGAGCTCATTAAGCATCTATGACGTTAGAAAGGTTGGCACTAGTTTGAGTTGGGAGTAGTATCAAGAGACCTTCTAGGGATTTCCAGGTGAACTTTTATAATGACGCATGGCAGAACTGTCATTTTTGTATCAGGCTTGGCAAAGAGGGAGGGGTCAGTGATATATTGGTGCTATTATTGGTGATATCAGGGCATTTTTTTATATATATGTGTGTGTGTATATATATATATATATATGTGTGTGTATATATATATATGTATCGGTAAAATTCCCAATATATCAGACAAGTATGTATTGCAATGTATGTATGTTTACACAATTTCCATAAAAATCTCAACAAATGATATAACAAAATAAATATAATACTCTCATTCACACACACATATTCATACCAGTGTACGCAGATACTGGGGGTGAGAGGGGTTGAGTGTCTTGCCCAAGGACACAATAACAGCATTCATTTTTGAAAGCTGAAATCACACCGTCAACCTGTGGGTCAGTGGTTCTGACTGCTCCACCAATTTTGAACTGCCAACCTTGGGATTAGTGGACTAACACTCTACCAGCTGAGCTACTGTTGCCCATAACTTTTATACTGTTATACCCTGCAGCATTAAAATGGCAAAGGTAGTGTGAATATATACGGCTGCCCATGACCATGACACCAGCACATCAGCCTGTCTACACCTGACACAATCTTCTCTCACTGGCCTCTGTGACGTCAATGGCAACAGCCCAGAAGATGACATGACATGGACTCCTAATACTAATCAAACAGCCTACTGCACACAAGTGAAAGTACTGCTGCTTCAAAGTAATGCTTCTGTATTGGAAAGTATATCCATTGCACAATAAGCTAAATACAGTGTTTTTCTATCCCTGGAGACCATTGTTCACTACTGCAACAAAGAAAGCTCCACTATTATAATAAGATATTGTTAGCACTTAGAAAAGTATACTTAAAATACTAAAGAATAAAAATATATTTCTTCTATGTATGGTAACTGTGATAGAACTTTGTTATATCCACACCTTAAGTTACCTTAATAAAGCATGAACAAAGATGTAATTGATAATAAATAAATAGTTTAAGAGTGATTCAGGCTAATTAGCAACTTAATTTAGGAGTAAGGAGTTCAGTTTAATAGTTACTAAATATAAGGCAATTAAAAGTATAGTTATTTTTAAGCGTGTAAACTGTAACTTCTAGTCTAAAATGAGATCATGTTCTCAGAGAGAGACAGAAAATGCTATCTTTCACGACGCAGCTTGTTTACAGGCTTTAAACGCAGGAACACATCAGGTGAGCTCACGTGCTGAAGTGAAAGGTGCCGGCAGGAGGGCAGATGACTAAAGGTGTTAGAGAGGAAACTCCTGCTGTCCTACGTCAATGGCTCCTAATGCCAGCACCCGGGATCCTGACCAATACACAGATATGCAGCAGGACAGATGGTCTCGTGATTAACTCTGACTAGATACATGATCAGGACAGCGCCCTATGAGACCCTTTAAGCATTATTACCTCTGGGGACGGGTCCCAGGGGACAAGTCCAAAAAGACAGTGATGCCAATTTGTATCAATTTTTCCTCTCTGTTTTTGGACTTAATCTTAATTTGGGGGCATTTAATGAGTGCAGTTAGTGCCAGAAAAAATGATATTGAAATGTGACACAGTCTAACAATGTGGCTAGTCAGTGGTGATTAGTTAGCATTACCATTAAACAAACTACTGGCAACTTTATTAAGACATCAATGCTTAAAGGGCCATACTACAGTTTTGTGATCCATGTTCTAATGCTGTTTTCTCATCAAAACCATGCCCAGAGTTGTGTTTTGTTTCATTTACACGATGAACACACAAAACCTTCATATTTAGATGAGTTCTTAGTTCACCCTTGTGATGTCATGTGGTAATTCAGGAAGTGCTCCACTGTGTTTTTAAACTCCAAACACCCTCAGAATCATTCGGATGATTTCAGCCCTGGAATTGCCAATACTGAAAAAAAGGTAAAAGGTAGCTGTTAACTTGAAAGTATGTTTTGTATGTTTATGCTCACAAGTGTCAGTTTTTGCAATATAGGACCTATGATGATATTTAGGGTTTATAAATTTAGAAAAGACCATTGATTTCTTCCTGTGTTGATTTAATAGTAAAATTTGGATGTTAGGCTTGCTTGGCAAAATGGTTAGCTCCCATATATTTTAGGAAAGCTTTTGTGGAAACTAGGTTCTTGCAATGTACCCTTGTGTTATGTCACTATCTGAATGTACAGTACGTGTACAGAAGAAATGTACAATCACAAATTATTTGATTTAGCTTATGAAAGATTTGAGTCTATTAGAGAAATCCTTGTGAGCAAAATCAAGTTTGAAATTTTGTATTGGGACAACATAACCAGCCGTTCCCTTCTAAATTTGTTCAACCACAACACCCAAAAGGTGATAACCCAAAATAACATTACACAGAATGACAAGCACCAACTCTGCTAGCCTTCATCCTGTCATTAAACCAGCCAATTATATAATTTCTTTCAGGTTCACCTCCTTCTTGACCCACCTTTGTGCATAAAAGCAAAAAATCAATGTACACTTTTTCTGTTGACCCACACAAACTATGAAAACAAGACTTTTTCTCCAGCAGGTGGGCGTATAACTGCTTTATAAGAAGTTGACTCCGGGTTGTACTCCTTTAATAAATCCTCTGCCTATGGGAAACTGCAAACAACCAGCGCATAGTGGCCTCAGGCGTGAATCTCAAAACCGCTGTCAAAGAGAGTCAACAAGGTGAGGTGTGGACCAGATTCAGCCTATTCATGCCTATACAGTTCTTCTGTACAAACCTCTCACAGTGAAGTACAAGAAATACAGAAGGAAAATCTGACAGAACAGTGCTCTGGGCATATCAGAAATCTTTGTTTGCTAATGAGCTGCCTGCTACTAATCCTAAGCACCGCTGACAGGAAAGACAAAAACACAGCGTTAGCAAACCAGCTGAGGTGCAAAAAAAACTAAAAGTGGTCTCACCTTTGAATTTAGGCTGTCATTTTAGAGAACAGCACAATTAAGAAAGTCCTAAGATCTCAAATGGCTCAATTTACGTGGATAATGGACCAGAAATTCTTCATTAAACTTAATATCTACAAAAATAACATGGGATTCAGCTTCACTATAGCAGAACACCTGGGCCAACCTTTTGTGAGTTTGAAATGTTACATAATCCATTTTAGTTCAACAAAAATAGGACTGTACTCAGCTATCTTTGACCTCTCCCCTCTATCTGACAGCAAATATCTTAACTTGATAAACGTGTATGCAGGGATGATCAGCAGCAAACAGGGTGGCTTCTGCTATATGGAGTAAAGGTTATCCTCATATCAGTCACTCCTCTGTCTTTATCATGTGAACTTAAAATAACAGCAAAATCTAAAAACTATATAAGATGAGCATTTAGTTTCTAGCAAATATGGCTGGCTCCAGGGTTTTAAAAAAATTATATTTATAAGAAAATAACAGTTTAAGTGAAATATAATAGTATACAATTGTAACTGGGAGTATAACTTCAGAAACAGCATAATGACTACTACAGTGAGGAAAAAAGTTCAAAAAATTTAAGATTTGATTGTTAAAAGATAAATTATAACTTTTAGGCTTGAGTAAATTTGGCAGTTTGCTAAAATATATATTTGGGGGGGGGCTAAATGTTTAGTTTTGCATGGGCGTGGTGTGGTCATACATGGACAGGTCAGAGCATGCCATATCCATCCGATTGGACAAAGGTAGCCGGCAGCAGCATTACCTAAAACCAATATGACCTGAAGTTTCATGTCAGACTCGGCAGAGATAAGAACAGTGTGTACCGCTTTGACGGGAGACATGTCTTCATTTGAATATTCAATAAATGGATAACGCTCAGCCATGTGGAGAATAGAATTTGGCCTTTGAACAAGAACTAACATTTATAAAATATGTATGCAAGCATGAAAACAATATTGGGACATTTCAGGGACTGTCAAGAATGGACCAAAATATTAATATCACGTCATATGGATTCAGATAACTGTTTAGCACCATTTTAACATAAGGTCTGAAGACAAAGAATGCAGTTTACTTTATTTAACCAGGTAAAATGTTTCAGAACTTTTTTTTTTTTTTCATGTGAGTCCTGGACTTATATGTATTTGTTATTAACAGAGATTTATTTTAATTTACACCTATAGTTTTAATAAACAGTCTAGGGCTTTTGCAAAGTATCGTATATATATCTACTAAAATTAAAGGCTGAAAGATGCAAACCAAACACTATTAACATCCAATTTGCACAAATATCCCCTTCGGAAAGGAAAGCCAAGTCTGAGATTAGTATTGATTTTAGCAAAAGAGTTAAGGGTTGTATGCTGTAAATAGTGCTTAAGAAGTATTTTATGGGAATCATCAGTGTGAAGCGAAAGGCAGAGGTGGCAGTGTAAATTAGGTGCCTCTGACCTAATCTAATCCCACTTCCTGAAAGGTATAGCCACAGGGGTTGAACTGTCAAGAGACCAGGATTACACTCTCTTAATCTGGAACAATATATTGGCTTAGCTAGCCTGCTCAGACATACTGTGGGTGTGTATGTAGTCACCTGGATGCTAAGATTTTAGTATCCAGATAATTTTCTAAAAGTGAAAAAGAAGAGTATGGAGACTGTCAAAAAAGTTAACTAATTAAGATTCTGGGTCAAGTTTATTATAAATATAGGATAGGCAGGTGTCTAAATCATAACAATAATTAAAATAAGTAATAATTAATGGGCAAAATCAAGGTAAATTATTACAGTGTGAGAGAAAATAATCTAAATGTTAGCCAGCATTTTTGTGAATCAACAGATCAATTTCTCACTGAGAGGCACAAATGCTCCCCAAGAGGCAGGAGCGATAAGTAAACAAGAAAGCAAAAGGTCAAATATTTAAAAGGTTTGAGAAAAATATTTATGCAAAGCCAATAAGTCAAATGGAAAGAAAGGTAGAAATGAAAAGAAGGGGCTTTACATCTTAAACACTACAAAGACCTCTTGCAGAAATGTGTTACTTAATAGCAAGTGTGAAGTTGGTGCATCTCTATTGCCATCCAGTGGACAAAACTAGGAACTGCTATCTCCAAACAATTTCACAGTACATTCACACTGTTTTGACTGAGATTCTACCAAGCATATGTGTTACACAATTCAATTTAAGCATATCTTACCTTTTCCAGAAATAACTTCATTTTCTGTTCGCCAACGAAATCCAAACTATGGAAAACAAACTGAGGTTTTAATATATATTTAAGTAATTAAAATATAACACAAAATGTTATTCTAGTTTATTAAGAAATCCCTAAATATAATTCACCAAATCAGAATATTTACCTTTTTACTAAAAAACATCTGTCAAAGTGTAATTACATCACTGACAGACTAATGTAATAAGTGTAGTTATGTCAGTATGAAAAATCTCAGGTGAGATTTAAATTGAACTGGATCAAAAGTAATTAATTTAATGTGCTCTAGCTATAACATTTGTAAGTTGAAAGAGGAAATGTACAACCAGACCACTTGACTTAATTTAAAAGACACATTTAGCTGATTACTTCTATAATGTTTTGTGGCAACATACTCACCTTGTTTTCTTTATATCTGCTGAGATCTGCGATGCAATATTCTTTAAAAAGTTTGTCATAATATTTTTTTGCCAGATCTTTCTCCCTGTAAACAGCAAAGATTGCGAGGGCTTTATGACAAAGTGGCACACATCCCAGACAAAATATTCTAAGCACGTTGTATAATCACCATGTCATCTCCTCCTCATCTTCTTCCCGCCACAGAAAGCGATGATTCTCACGGATTACATCATAGTCTGTTTTGTCTTTAGCTCTGTGGAAATAAAATGTTCCATTTTATAGGCCACATAATTTCACATAAGATCTGATATTGTTGTTACAGCTATATTAGGACACAGCAGATGATGAGAGATGATTAAGAGATAGAAAACCTACGCAGAACGTTTGAAGTCAGCCATCTGTCCGCCATAATAGAGAATGTAGTCACTGACAAACTTTTTATGTCGTTCAAACTGTAAAACTGGTTAGGGATGGCATAAACAATGGCAGAAGTACACAAAAGTGCCAAATCCCACACAATAACAATGTCTGTAAATGACCATCTGTTACCATCATAATTTAAAAGGATACAGCATTCAAAGATATTAGGTGAGCTCTTCTGTTTCTAGCTTCTTCCCTGAAAAATAAGAACATGACATTAATAGACTTTAACTAGTTGTAAATTGTGTTCAGACTAGTGTACGAATAAAATGTTATTGATCATAATAATACATTATACTGGCTAATCTCTGTCAATTAAAATATATTGTTACAGGTAATAAATAATAATTTTAAGGGAAGAGCAATTTTATTTTGTACATTTCTGCTACATTGTTTAAATTAATTATGACTTGCATGTTGAGATTTGTACCTGTCTATCTCGCTGGTGTGGAAACTCCGGTGAGCCACCTGAGAATGTCGACCCTTTTCAAATGGCTTCTGTAGGATTTCTTCTTCACGTTTCCTATAGTAAAAAGTGTGAGAGAATTAAACTGATTGATAGAAGTTTGTGAATATCTCTTCCTACCTTTTGAGGTTCTTCTCTGATGATTCTCCCTGGCCATCTTCATCACTAAAGTCTGAATCATAGCCACCACTTCCATGAACCTGTGGAAACACATATTGCAAACATAGTCATGCAAAAGTGCTCATTAGTGCTCATTAGCACAATAATATAGTAGAGCTATAGTAGTGGGTCTAGCACTTATAACGTTGTAATAAGTTCACGAGTAGAGAAAATAAGATGCTACGATAGTATAAGCAATGCCTATTATGCTAATGAACGTGACTTTATGATTGCAAAGTACCAATATAACACGAATATACTGGTAGTATCGTTTAGATAGATGCAGACATGAGCTTGCTTTGCTAGCCGCTTCTGCAACAACAAAAGTGGCCAAATAACTCGGTATATAAACGATCCATAACATTTCAATGGTTGGCGAGAAATCGGTTTTCACATCAATAAGTACCTTTACAAGATTATCCATCGTGAATCCGCAAAATCCAGCAAAAAAAGTGTGCACTATTTGTGAATGTTTACATCGGAGTAGCCCTGTCCACTGTCGATGACGTTAAAAACATGTCGCGAATTGATGACGTACACCAACACTATAAATTGGTTATTTTATTTTTTTTAAGACAAAATTGAAGCGTATCGATCTACATTTATTTGTAAGTGGTACTTGTGTTGATTTAGTGCTGCGTTGGTAAGTTAATGAGTTGTTTGTCTCTAGTGGCAGTTAGAAGATGAGAATATCGGCTGATTGATGCTAGAAATGGAAGGATAAAGGCGCACAAATAGCCTATGGGAATGCTTGGGTATAATGAGCCCCCGGGTTATTAGAGGTGGCGGGGCGGAAAGTTCACAGTTCAGGAACAGACTTCCACTGTTTCATCCTCGTCCTACTGACACTCCATAGATATGCTGACGCTCAACAAAGCAGGCAATTGAAATCCAAAAAGAGATCACAAACTGACCAAAGAACTACTGTGGTAAATTATCCGGGCGCAGCTTTTGTCCACAAAGGTAGCCATAATGTTCCATACTCTTAACATGTTTCTAAGCACATCTCCACAAAGGGAAGGAAACGAGAGCAATTTCTTATGTTACTGGAATCTGGGGATACTGTCAACATTGTCTAGATTTAAAAAAAAGTCGTATTTATGTTATTTTTTTCATGCTTTGATTGTTTGGAAAAAGAGATGAAAACGCTTGATAAAAGGGGGCAGGTGCATTTCTATAACGCCTCTTGAATTGAAGCTGCTCATTATCCATTCACAGCTCTCAAACGCGCATAAATAGGCTTATAGCAGCCCGTGCGCATAAAAAAGCGCACCTTACGAGAGTCTCCCCCTTCCCCTCCGTTTCTCGCCCTCCCTGTCTTTCTCTTTCTCTCCCTGGGGAATTTAGTGGGCTATGTTATAATGTCTGTCCCGCATTGGTAATCCTGCCCTTTGCAGAACGAATCCGCTGGACTGGAGCCTTCCTATTGAGACGCAGGACGCACAGCCAAGCTTCGCGCGAGGCTCATCATTAAAAACAAAACGGGGCAGAACATCTTAGAGGAGCGATTTTTGTTGGAGAAGTTGCATGTGAAAGCTTTGTAGGGAATTACATATCAAGCTGTTCTAGAGCGGAGCAGAGTGGATAAAAACACTATGGGATATCCCAAGAAGAGATGGGGAGTTGGATGGACGCTCTTGGTTTCGGTTGCGGTTATGTGCTTGGTTTTAGCGGATGGACGGAGACTGAGGCAGCCGAGGTGTCCCATAGGATGCTCCTGTACTAAAGACAATGCACTGTGTGAGAATGTCCGATCTGTGCCACATACTTTTCCCAGTGACGTCGTCTCTCTGTACGCGTAAATCTACACTTCCAACTGTGCAAAATACTAAATTGTGCACTTTTGTTAATTAACTCTTATTCCAATAATGTCTTTTTCTTTACAGATCTTTTGTCAAGTCAGGATTCAATGAAATATCAGCTGGAAGCTTTGTCCACACACCTGCCCTGCAACTGCTGTGAGTAGCACCATAAATCACTTATTTAAAAACAACACAAAAGGATTGAAAATTTACTGCAATGTAGCTCTATGCAATATAGTGATCCTTGCACAAAGGACCTATACACAACATTACAAGCTTCTCTAGTCCCATTTATTTTTCACAGTATTTATATCTGTCTTTGTTGATGGTTTCCAGCAGCAAAACAATGAGACAGGCTCTTCCCAAAGGGGTTCCTTTGAGGCTTCATTAAAGGAGGATTCTCTTTAATGGTGTCAGTATTATGCAATAGAGCACATGGCTACACAAACTAACAGCAGGGGAAACAGAGAAAAACCTTTTATGAGTTTGCAAAGTAACGCATTTTATGCATTACATTGAAGAGTCTTGTTACATAAAGTTGAATCAATGCTCCAAATATAGAAACAGAATGAAATGGTTTGAAAATTCCCAAATCTAAGAACAAAGAAGTGAAAAACATTTTTTTTTCTATATGTGCATGATGGCAGCAAAGCATCTTAAAACTGGCACAAAAAAGTGAAAATAGTGCATTTGCAACTTAATGTTGTCTAGGAAAATTATTTTATATTTTTTCATTTTTTTCCTCACTGTCCCAACTTCGTATATTATAGGCATTGCTGCTCTGTTTATTCTACATACTCAGAGCATTGCCAGGAACAATTTATAGTAGGTCACCAAATTAACATGGAGGTCTGCTGTTACAGTGGCCTCTAATCAAAATCTGACACATAATAGCTTTCTGTCACTAAGCATCAAAACTCTCTACCTACATATTGTTCTTGGCATAAGTGACTCCATATGCACATAGAACACTAAATCAGTCTAAACAGGCATGTACTGCTGTGGGCTGGTCGCCAGAAGGACAAACCATGTGATGAATATGACTAAAAGTGAAGGGGCTAAACGAGTGGTATTACAGTGGTACTTTAGGCCAAGGTGACCCGGACAATCTGTAGCTAAGTGCTATTAAATCAATGCTGTTGGCTTTGGTAAGAGCAAGAACAGTCATTGAATGGACAAAGAGGAGGAAAATTCATTATTTGACCATTTGGACATCAAAGAATAAAAGAGACACTTGTGTGGGAGTGGACATCCATGCTGGTCATTCATTTACTGAAGCGTGTGGGAGGGAGCAGCAATTTTCAGCCAATTTCATTCATATTCTGTCGGTAGAAATAGAACAAGCCTTTGTCTGTTGAGCTGCCACTTTTAGAAAATATTGCATATTATAATGTAGTTTTTACTATATTATAGAATATTACATCTTGTGTTAAGATCACCTAGGAGTTCTTGGATAACTGTCTATAGCTGAAAGGATAGCTTTGGGTAGTGAAGTTGAACCATTCAAGTTGTAGGCTACAGTTTAACCACCATTCACTCACACACTCATTGTATCACATGCTATTAATTTAAAATATGCTTTTTTAAGGTTATTCACTGCCAACACATTTGATCTTATTGACGAAGATGCTTTCCTTGGACTACCGCATCTTGAGTATTTGTAAGTAGTATTTGTAGTAGTAGTAGTAGAGATGCATAATACAAAAAGTGCAATATAATCTGCTCATATGTGCTCAAACATGCCTAAATCTGTAAAAATAAAATAAAAAGTAAAAAAGATGTTACAATAGTTGCATAAATGACAAAAATGCAAGTTATTGTCAGTGCAGTTTTCTGTATTGATTATACTTTATGGTTCACAAATCCACAATTGATGAGGCAAAAAATCTCCTCATTAAACTTAGATATTTTTAGTAACAGACCCATTGAATGTTGTTGTATCAATTTATGTGTTTTTCAAATGCTTATAATAATATCTGTTTTGCAGGTTCATTGAAAATAATAAAATAGCCTCCATATCTCCTTTTGCTTTCCGGGGATTGAAGACACTCATACATCTGTAAGTACTGACAGCCTTTCTTTCTGATTTTCAAATATATTTCACACTGCTCGATGCCATTCACTCTGCCCCTGTCTGTGTCTGTTGCTGCCGTGGCGACGTGCAGAGGTGGTTGGCAGGAGGTGGCGTTGGATCAGGTTTCTGAAGGGCAGATAGCAGTCACTCCAAATGTGACAAGTCAGTGTGACGTAAAGTATGAATGGCTCTATAAATATATTGAAATATTTTAAATCAGTGCGTTTCCTCAAGCATGTTTTTATAGAGGAAGTTGTATTCATAATTTTTGTTAATGTTTTAACTGTGATAGTAAAATGACTCTTGCACAAACAATATAAGTTTGACGTAATAGCAGTTTTGGCAGTTGCAGTGTAATGTATAGTGTAGGATGGTAGGCCTAGTTGTAGCAGTATGCAATAACAATCACTTCCCTTCCAGTTTGCAAGCAGGAAACAGTGGAAGACATCCAGGAAATTAATTGGGAATTTAAAGCTTCCTCATTCTTGCGCTATTTGGTGTTTACTACAGTGCACGCTTAATCAGTCTAAAGTAAACTTAACCCCAAACATGACTGAGCTGAGAGCACATCTAAATATAAGCGCATGTTGTAAACATGTAAACTAAAACAAGTGACCTATAATCTTCCCCACTCTGGTTTGTACCAGTATACCTTTGTAGCTTGCAAGAGCCATGTGCATTTCTTCATGTTGTCAACTATGCATTTAACTGTTCCACTTGAGTAGCATACAATAGCAAAGAGACCTGGAAAATTACTATAAACAAACAGAACCCCCCCTTTTTTATTTTTTTTCCCAAGGACTACTATTGAAATTAATTTAAAACTGATCTTTTTTTTGTCAAATCTCAGCCTAGTTCTTAGATGAAAAATAGGCACTTCTAAATATATGCACTGGTAGTGGGCATTATTGCTGCATATTATATTAAGAGATGCATTATTAACACATTGAAGATGAAGGTCCTGCTGGAATCTTGTCCAGTCTGTTTTATCCCCCTGTGTGTTTAGACTTAAGAGAGTGTGGTCTCATTCAGATTCAGTGCAAAATGACTTCCCTCCAGAAAACCACTCTCCAATAAATAATGCATCTCTCATGAATTATGCTGTCATTTCATATCATTTAGTTCTCACTTAGAAAAGATGCCAAGATCGGGCATATGTTGGTATTTCTTTTGGTCTTTGGCATAGATATTTTGTTGATACTTTCACATTTTCCACCCCCTCTCCGTCTCACTTGAAGTTGTTTTGTCTGAAACACACTTGAGCTAATTTGACCCAATCAGAATGGTCTGTAATTACTATGTAAGACTATGATTTTTCTCTTCACTGATCAGGAGTCTAGCGTACAACAACCTTGAGACGCTGCCTAAAGATGTGTTCAAGGGCATGGAGGCGCTGACCAAAGTGTAAGTGTACCCTATTTTGTGGGATTTATGCAAGGTATATTCTCAATTTGCTCTGCAAAGTACAGTTATATTTAAGTGACAAGAAAAAAATGCCTTATTTTGGTTGTAAATACATAATCTGATATTTTATCATATATTTTATTGTTTAAAAAAATAAACAAACAAAAGCAGTGATATGCACTGCAACCACCAAGTCAGTTAATCAAAGTAGTGAAATTGTCATACACGCATCATTGGGTGAAGTACTATTAAAAAAAAACATTCTTCATCAAATTAAAGCATTTACAAAGGCATCGTGGCCCTGTGAAATGAACATTTATTTCTGAAAATCTTTAATTAAATTCCTGTTCTGTGTACAAATATTTTATTGTTATCATCTATACATTTGAAAGGAAGGTTGTTTTGCTTTTACTTTGGGCTATGCTGTGCAGTCTGGAAGTGTATCTACATGAGAGAAGAGAGAAAGAGTCTGAAGAAGTGCCTGTGTGGCCGTAGGCCAGTGTAAATGCTAAGGTTGTCAGTCTTTGACAACAGAATAGTTTGTTTCCCAGCAGGAACAATAGTGGCTGCACTGTGCAAACGCAGTGAGCACATACTGCCGGGGCAACTGCAGTTTGAGTGCACTTCAGAGTGGGACCACTCCAGAGATAGGACACTTCTGTTGGCTGTCTGGCCTTTGTCCAAAGTGCTGTCCTGTTGCAGGGAGACAGAGGGCAGAACAATGCGTAATAACCAAACACTAATGGAAATTATGTTGGTTACAAGCGCACTCATATTGAATATTAAAGAGAAAGCAAAACTGAGAGAAAAAACTGCAACTGAAGAATTACACTTTTTCAGAATAAGCCCTGTGAGTCCTGATGTAGCCTGGTTGGTCCTTGTTTCGTCCTGGTTTAGTCCCAGTCCCAGTGTGGTGTTTAAAAGTAGAAACAGCTGTAGTTTAATTCAACACAGACCCCATACACAAATGTTGCACAACAAGATACATAATGTGATATTGGGCTTTCAATATACTTCCAGATATTCAGTGCACATGCTAAAACTATCTACACATTATAATTAGTTAGAAGAAGAGAAACATTAGTATTACTTGTTTGGCCCCGTCTCTTATCCTGCGGTTGCAGAACCAAATTTTCCAGTCATTTTTATCATATTAAAAGTTTGAAAGCTTGCTTGGGTATAATCAGCTATGTGGTAACTAATGAACACAAGACCTATATTTTATTTAAAATCTGTTTCTGAAACCACAAACACTGAAACGTTTCACAGAATCTTGTGTTTTAATCTGCCTTTCTATATTATTGATATTAGCATGTAGCTGGTTACCCTCTTCAATGTCTTTGAACTTTTAATATTTGAAAATCTATGGGAAAAATGAAAAAAATGTTTACTTCCGGAACCAGAGCAGGCTGTCACTGTTGAGCTCCATTAGTAGACAAATAGTATCCAGAAGTATTTATTTATTTAATGCAGGGATTTACGCGGGAACAATCTTGTATGTGACTGTAAACTGAAGTGGCTGGTGGAATGGATGCACCAGACCAATGCCACCCTAGACGAGATCCACTGCAGCGGCCCGCCCTCTCACCAGGGGAGGAAGATCAATGACCTGCTACCACACTCCTTTGACTGCATCACCGCGGGTAACCTTTCACCTCTCTGTCATCTGCACACACATAACAGCTAATGTATTTAACCTTATTTGTACTTACTATACTCTTCTATTTGTCTGTGCTTTTTTGTTTTTCCAGAGTTTGCCTCATATCAGTCACTGAAGTTTGAGTCCATTTCTGTAGAGGCCTTCACCTTTGGCATGGACCAGTTTGTTGTATTTGCCCAGCCATTCGCTGGAACATGCAGTTTTCTAGAGTGGGATCATGTTGAAATGAATTTCCGAACTTTTGACACGATTCAAAGTGAGTTAAGAAAAGAAAACTCAATGTCTGCTGACTGCACAAATAATCAAATTTAATTGTGATTACAATTATTGCTCCAATCAATACAAAAATGGGTAATTGAAAAAAAAAAACAACACAGTGGCTTTTAGGGCTGAACAATCTGTAAAATGGATTGCAGTGGCCATTGGCAAACTGAAGTATGGTGGAAATCTAATAACTGAAAGAAGATTTTGTCCATGGTGCTCCTTTTAAAGAAAACATATTCTAATACAATTTTATTTTAAAACTCGTAAAAGTCTCCTTTAAATACATACAAGAACATACACATTTGAATTTGACAGACTAATTATGTTTTGTATGTCTGTCACTATATTAAGTTAATCTATTTTGCATGTTTTTCTTCCAGGCACCTCCACTGTAGTCTGCAAGCCCATGGTCATTGACAACCACCTCTTTATCATTGTGGCTCAGTTGTTTGGGGGCTCTCACATTTACAAGCGCGACATTTCTGCCAATAAGTTCATCAAGATCCAGGACATCGACATCCTGAAGATCCGTAAGCCCAATGACATCGAGACATTTGTGATCGATGGGGAATCTTTCTTCATTATCGCAGACAGCTCCAAGGTGAGCTTATCTTATGTTTAAAATGCCCTATCTTTAAATTAAAGATGAAAATATATCGGGCTGATATTTGCACTTTTTTGTGTATCGGCCATCGACCTTAAATCTCCTGTACATGCAGATAGTTTGTTGTCTGCTGCCTAAAGAGTAGACACAAAAATGTATTTTAACACTTTAGTGTGACGAGATAACTGCACAAATACACAGTTCTTTTATAATAGGATGAGTTTTTAGTCAATTTAAATTTTATGAATATATAGGGCAAAAATATCAGCTTATTTATTAATTTTTATCTGGACTACGGACTCATGCTAAGACATTTTTACTACAAATATATAAACTATGGTTCAACCATTACCTAGCTAATAAATGCCTTGTAAATATTATTTCTTTAATTATCATTTTACATTTTAGATAAAAAAAAAAAAATTACCACTAGTCTTCTACTTATCTCATCTTAGACTTTACAAGAGGTGTAGGGTACAATTACAATTGAGCATCATAGACTCCATAGCGATATACTATTCATCACATTCTATTTCTTTTCTATAACCATAATGGTTATAAAAAATTGTGATTTCACAATTCATTGTAAAGTTCTATATGAAAAAGTATTCATCAACCCAGTTCTGTTACAACTGTTACACAGATGCTGTTTTACCAAATGCTCTCAAATACCCAAAGTGATTTCTTTCTCTCTGCAGGCTGGCTCCACTACAGTGTACAAGTGGAACGGTAATGGCTTCTACTCTCACCAGTCCCTCCACCCCTGGTACCGGGACACAGATGTGGAGTATGTAGAGATGTCTGGAAAGCCTCACCTGATCTTGTCCAGCAGCTCCCAGAGGCCTGTGGTGTACCAGTGGAACCGCAGCATGAAGCTGTTTGAGCGCCGCACAGACATACCCGACATGGAGGATGTGTTCTCGGTCAAGCACTTCCGGGTCAAAGGTCAGAGCTGCTCATCTGTTGCAATGGCTTTAGTCCACTGTAGAGGGAAATATATTCAATATTACTTAAGGTGTTGAGATTACCAGTAAGGAACCCAGAAAGATTAGAAATGGTGAATGCATCCCTGTATACCAGTATCCAGTATCCAGTTTTTAACTTCAACTATCAACATATATCAAAATACCAATAACAACTTCTACCAGTAGAGTACCAGCGGCTAGATATTTAATTTCTTGAAACACAAGTGACACAAAACCTACCTAAGAATAGGCTACATTGTTTTTACATCATCCAGTCTTATTTGACATCAGTATGTAACTTTCTGGAGGTGGCACATCACCTGCATGATTCCATGGAAATTAAAGTTAAAACGTTTTTCTAGTTTTTCAGTTCAGCTGTACTATAATGTCCTAAAGATGAGCAAATATGAGTTTAAAGTGACAAAAGTACAACAAAAGGATGATATAACCTCATGGAATCAGCTGAATTAATTGAGCACTTCATATTATGGCTATTCAGTATGTTTAAGTGTAGTAGGTGACTTATAATATAAGCATTAGAACAATTTGTAGAACATAATTCTAGGAAGAAATATTATCCTTACTGGAAATACTAATGGAACATGTGCTGACCTGTGACATCTAAGACATGTTGGTATGTGAACATAAAATCACATGATAGCAGTACCTTGATTGCTCATTGGGCGTTACTTAGGGACTTATTTGATCAAAACTGTGAATAAGCGTGTACAAAGAAGTTTTATATTCTTTCAGTTTCAAATGTTTGTGTTTGCATTTTCAGGTGGAACGTTTTGGACATTGAGATAACCTCTTACATAACCCTAGCATTTTCCCTGAATGCAACAGTAAACAACTTGTCCACTCTCTCCTCTCTTTAAAGGTGAGCTGTTTATCTGCCTGACAAGATTCATTGGGGACTCCAAGGTGATGCGCTGGGACGGAGCCATGTTCAAAGAGGTCCAGACATTCCCCTCTCGCGGCTCCATGGTGTTTCAACCCGTCACCATCGGCAACTGGCAGTACGCCATCCTGGGCAGCGACTACTCTCTGACACAGGTCTACCAATGGGACACTAAGAGGGGCCACTTTGTCTCATCCCAGGAGCTCAACATCCAAGCCCCGAGAGGGTTCGCGCTGGCTGCTATCGACGAGCGCGTCTTTCTTTTTGCGTCCAGCTTCAAGGGAAAAACCCAGATATACGAGCACCTCATGATCGACCTCAGTAATTAAAGTTAGATACTGGGACTCGCAATCAAATTTAAATTGTCATTCCAATTGTGTCTAATTTTTTTTTTCTCTCAAATTTGGATCCAGGAACCAGTGATATTCAGGCCTCCTGGTACTCAGGCATATTTAGCAGTTAAGATCTGGATTCAGTTTTGCATTGGTCCTGACTGAAACCAATTTTGTCACTGTTTAGTCTTGTGGTCATTTCTGCTTAGGTTTATTTACTCTTATTAATATATGAATGAATAATGCAAAAATTGTAAAGTGACTTTAAAAAGCGCTATATTAGAGTGATGCATTATTTATATGCCTGTATTAAGTATGATTTTCTTGGTTTAGACATTGTTCTCCATAGATCAGGTCAATACAATACCCACAGGTTTAATAAGCCTGTTTTTAAAAAAGAAATCTGTTGGGAATGATGAAGTGATGAAATTTTGAAAAAAGTCCTATCACGTGGTTTTCAAAAGGCCCCTGACAATAATACCTCTGGATGAATAACTTGCCAGAAGCGTCCCACTGTGTGTGCTCTCTTTCACAGTACTCTTGACCCTTGTCTCCCCCATTGTCTACACTTGTGTTGTTTTTTTCCCCTCCTAACCCACTACCTGTATTTTCACTGTTCTGTTTGTGAGACTTACACAAAACAGTTACACTAACTCAGTGCATTCATATTTGCCAAATATGTTTTGTAAAGTAATTTATATTTATAATATTGCTGTTGTAGTCTTTCCAAAAAGGCTAGTTTTAGAAGATGTAGAATTTAGCTCCTAATTTAGAAATTATTATTTAATTTCATATCATTATAGCAAACAGTTGGCTATTTTTTTTGGGAAAAAAGTAGTAATAAAATGTGTTATTCTGAATGAATGGGTTTACTGGTATCTATACCCCCATAACTTAGCAAAAGAAACAAATCTGAAGGTGGTCAGAGTTCAAGTTTAGCTCGACAATGAATGGGGGCTGTGCCCTCAGTTGTTTTGTACGGGTTTTATGGATTAAGGGACTATAGTAAAATTATATTTTATAATATTGTATTAAATTGCGTTCAATTCGTTTTAACCGTATTCTAACCAAAACGCATCAAAAGAATTGTGTTTTTCTACAAGGTGAGTCTGAGCTGTAGCTTGGTACAGCGCCACACAACCTCCCGGAGGTGGGCGGAACCTCGGGTAAGGTTTTAGTTGTCCAGCAGAGTTGCACCGGGTTCATTTCTGCCCCCCTGTGGGTAAAGTAACCAGTGCATGGGAGCTTGTATCCTGCCACCAAGGTTAGTCATTAACCTTGTCTTCTCGGCAGCTCAGGGCGACAAAGGCAGACAGCAGTCTGTCCGCGGCATGCTGCCTCTCGGCCGACACATCTTACCATGGGAGATTGTAACCACAGCGAACACGAGCGGGCTTTGACCCTGGAGGACGGGATTACTGTAGCCTTCCATAAAGTTGACAGCCATGACACAAACGACGACGGGGACTGCGAGTGTTTCGACGAGGAGACGGCTCAAACGCGTCCGTTACAAGGTGACTCCACGGCGTCAAGCGGCTGTGATGATGCTACCGGGGAGGAGAAAGAGACGAGAGGCAACCACCGCGCACCGGAAAACCGCCAGAAGAAAACGCTGTGCCCGCCGGCGTTTTGCGTCAGAGCCAAGACATCATCGCCACGGAGAGAGCGCGCACCGGAAGGTACAGGGCAAGACTTGAAGCATTTGTTTGGGAAACTTTTCAAGAAATATCGAAAACTTGTGAGAGCTTTACCTTTTTTTGTTAATAAAGGATAACACAACCAGGGAGGACTACGCACGCTCACGTTTTTCGACGTCACGCTCTTATCTCTAAAATGCTCTTATCACGTTACAGAACTATAGATGAAAGGCAGCCCTTTAAAGCCATATGCCCCCACTGTTAGTGTGTGGCAGATGTTCTCTTTAGGCCTACCTAAAGAGAACAAATAGTTCTCTTTAGGTAGGCCGCTTTACTGTACATTTACCTTCTGCCTGAGAAACTTCTGACAAACTCACAGGTTTCTATGGCCACAGTGACAGTAGACACCTGCGTGCTGTAAATCGGATTGACATTTACATCATCTAGGGCAGGGGTGGGCAAACTTTTTGGCTCGCGGGCCACATAGGGTCCTAAAATTTGCCTGAAGGGCCGGACAGAACACAGGACATGACGTGTTAAGACCTCAGCTGCATTATATTTGTATTTATGCCTATGTAGTAAGCGCATTACACACTACAACATCGCCGTGAAAGATCAGGAACACACTAAAATAAACAAATCCGCTCCACTGCACACCACAGGCGAAGGTGACTCGTGAGAAATTAGATTTTACAAAGATAAAGAACTCGCGCTGCAAAATCACGTGCGACTCAACAAGACTCTCAAGACGTTCTGTGACTTAAGTCTAATAACACAACATCTATAACGTTCTCGTTTTTGTTTTTTACCAACTCTCAGTGAAAAGTTATATCTTGAACACCACTCATGGTCCGAATAACTCCTTTAAGAACACTTTCCCATAAAGCATTGCGGCCAACATAATACGCCGCATCTCAATGTATATATAGTGCGCCATCTACTGGGAAACGCCGGAAACGCATGAAAAATAAACATCAACATGATTTATTATTGTAATTTATTCCAGTTCGGCGGGCCGGTTTAAAAGGTTTAAAGGGCCGCATATGGCCCCCGGGCCGTAGTTTGCTCACCCCTGATCTAGGGCTTGACTGCGCTCTTTTCTTTGTCTGCATAGCCTATGTACACACATTTAAGGCTGAACAATGTGTTCAGTGAAGTTTGTTTCATTTCAAACCATTAATAAACCAGCAGTAGACTACAAACTTATATTGCGATTTGGATACCAACATGCCTCTCATATGGTGTATTATAGTTAATTTACCCAAAAAGAAAGACTTCATCGTGGTTTGAAGTTAAGTCTTTGCTTATCACTGAAGTTGAACTTTGCAGTTTGCACATGTTTTTTTCACCATCTCTTACAGACACAGAGAAACCAAAGCGATGTTCCGGTCTTGGTTTGTTCTATGCGTTTCTGTCCACTGTATTCTTCTCCATCATCGCTCTTCTGGTCAAAACCATCCAGGGACTTCACGCCATAGAGATCAGTGCCATTCGCTGCTTCTTCCAGATGCTCTTTGTGGCACCTCTGCTCATTTATCACAAGTAAGCATGACATAGGCTAATTACAGCCTGAAAGTAGGCCATGTTCACTTGTCAAGAAATTGTTTGTACAAGTTTGACTAGTCCCAATATAAAAGCAGCTATTTTCTTATTCACACAGGCAGTGCAGTTGGTGAAATATTATAAGCTGTAATTATTGGCTAAACTATTGTCTATGTGACGCTCCTGTTAACACTGTATTCAGTCTTTGTAAACAAATTCTGCACATTGGATTCAATTATGTTATTTGTTAAACATTTCAGGTAATAAGCACAACATTCAATTTACAAAATTACAAAATCTTTCTCCTAATCCCAAACTGTTACATCAGACTTCATACAGTCATATATTCACTCTCTCCTTTAATTCACTGTTCTCCTTCAGTCTGCTTTTTGTGTAGTGAATTACTGGTTATTACTCCATCCATCACTTGCTATCATGTGTTCATCTGACTGTTTCCATTGGTGCTCTTCATGTGTGTCTCAGGACAGGCTTCATTGGCCCCAGAGATAAACGCATCTATCTGTTACTGCGCGGCTTCATCGGCTCCAACGCCATGATCCTGCTCTTCTATGCTGTGCAGCAGATGCCTTTAGCAGACGCCACTGTCATCATGTTCAGGTGAGGACTGATCTCACTCTTGTCGTGCTTAGTTACTATGCAAACCAAAAATCTGGTGTGATTTCTGGAGTTTATTGAAATGTCATGTAGGCAGTTACATCTGTGTGTAATCTGATTTCTTCATGATTGTTCACATTTGTCCATGTTTTGACAAAGGAAAATATGAAAAGAGGGCTAACTAATGTGGCAAAGACAAACATGAAAGAGAAAATGTTAATGATTTTTTTTTTATTATATTACTTTGTTTTCCAGATATATTCTAAAAATACATTAATGAACATAGCTTTTTTAGGGGGGTTTGTTTTTTGTTTTTTTTTGATGATCAGATTTCTCTCATGTCAACCACCACATAAAAACAAATCTAATTATTAATAGCTTTGATTAATTATTAGCTTTTCCTTTTTACAGTAATCCAGTCTTTACTTCAGTGCTGGCCTGGATATTTCTGAAGGAGAGGTGTACAATCTGGGACTGTGTCTTCACTGTCTTCACCCTCACAGGGGTCATCCTCATCGCACGGCCACCCTTTATCTTTGGAAAGCACCTCAGTGGCATCGAGAGTAACTATAGCAACCACATTAAAGGCGCTATAGCTGCATTTGCAGGTGCCACAATGCACTCTTGTTTGAATGTGGATTTCATTCTGACTCTAACATGGTGTTTGATGTTCACAGGGGCAATTGGAGCTGCTTGCACAATAGTTATTCTTCGTAAGATTGGGAAGAGTGTCCACTACTACCTCTCTGTGTGGTATTACGCTGTCATTGGACTGATCGAGTGCATTATTACTGTTTCCGTCCTTGGGGAGTGGAAGATCCCAGCGTGTGGCCGTGATCGCTGGATGCTGATGTTGATAGCGGTGCTGGGGATAGCTGGCCAGTCCTTCCTCACAAAAGCCCTGCAGATTGAGAAGGCCGGGCCTGTGGCTCTGATGAGGACAGTGGATGTGGTGCTAGCATTTACCTTTCAGTTCATCTTCTTTAACCGCGCTCCTACCTGGTGGAGTCTAGGAGGGGCGCTGTGTGTAGTCGCCAGCACCAGTGGAATAGCACTTAGGAAGTGGTACGTCAGCTCACGCAAAAGCTGAGTATCTATTTATTTTGACATTCAGTTTTTTTTGTTTTTTTGTATTTCATTGTTACTTGAATTATTGTGAATAGTTAAATCCTGTTTGGATGGGAGACATCATGGTGCATTATAACTTATTTCTATGCACACACTATACAAGTATCTACTATATTAATATTTCAATTGTATTTCTGTTTTTAAAAAATATTATCACACCGAGATTCTTTCAAAACTTGGAAGTAATTATTTAGTTGGTGTGCTAATGGAAAGGTTAAGTTTCAAGTAGAAGCGGTTTGCACTGAACAATGTGCACTTGGAGGGCCCTTCAGGTCCTTGGTTAAAGCTGTCACATGAGGATTAAATCAGAACAATTGGTGAAACATGTAACCTTTGACCCAGAGCATTTTTTATATAGAGAGTCAGCACTTATTCCCTTACACTATTAAAGTGTTCTCTTTCTCTCGGTGTGAAACTAAGGTCGTTACAGGGAGCTGTTTGCACTTTATTATTGTCTGAGGACAGAAAGTGTCATTTTTCTGAAGCCTTTATAGAGATTATTGTATATAAACAATATGACTGAAGTCAAGGGGACCTATTATTTAAAATGGTGGTGTAAAACACTGCCATGTAAAGGTCTCTATCCCTGCAGCTAAAACATGTGCCTTTTACATGTGACTCTGTGGTTTTAAACAGCAGGGGATCTGTGGATGGTCCATGACTTACATACTTGAGTATTTCAATACTTTCTTAAGCAATCAAAAACAATAACTATTAATATTTCCGTTAGTTGTAATGTTTTTTGCAGATAAAGTGATACCTCTTAAGACCTTGATGTCTTGTGTTGTCAGTAGTTGCTGTAACAATCAGGCTACATTACAGATTAGCACTCTGTGTGAGCTTTGTTCAAGTTTCTTATAGATTTAGAACAGTATAATAATACGACTAATAATAATAATAATAAGCTAAGACAGTTTTCTGATTGACTTTAGAGTACACAGCTTATCATGGCTGCTTTTATATTTATGTATTTTTTGCATTTTTTTTGCATCACTTTCAGTATCTAATCTGAACCATGTTAGATTTTTGGAATTTTCTTTCCTAAATATTTTATTATACTGTATTTATAAAGGGCATAGCACATATTTTAAACATTGCAATACCTCTTTTACACATTACATATTTTGGCTGCTAGACCAATGACTCAATAGACTATTCAAATTTACTATGCAATTTGTGTTAAGAATAATGACTGACTTGCTTTAATTTATTGTTTTCTTTGAGCTTTAATGTGCTTCATATGTAATAATCGGGAATTTCTGAATTAATCAGTTTGAATATATAAGCCTTAATCTTGAAGCTGTTTTGTATTCATACCTTTTCATAAACATGTAGTAAAGTATATTTCTTTAAAGAGAAATATTATTTATACAACTTCTCAATAAAGTATTCTCTATTCACTCATAGCTATTGTTGTGTTTGCCTGTCTTTTAAATAATGTGGTTGCATCATTGTCTACACCCAGTTGCAAGGTCTGTTGTCTTTTGTCCATAGAAGCTTTTCACAAACCACTGAGTCAGGGAGCTGCTGCCTGCAGAGCTCCAATACCTGCTCCAGAGCATTGTGCTCTATTGTTTATGCTGTATTGTTCATGTGTGTGTTGATGCTATTGTTATTTCACAACACCGCTAGGCATTGTACTTAATTCATGTTGTTGATGCTTTTAAAAAAAATTTTTTTATGTACAAATAAATTCAAATCAGAATATATTTTTTTTAGTAGTCCAATAATGGGGCTAGTAATACTTCATTCATTACTTTTTAGAACTATATATTTATTTACTGTTATTTATTTTCAGGGGTTTAATTTTATCTTGTGGTATTAACTGCCTTAGAACAACACTTACAAAATGTATTCGGTATTTGTGCATAGCCAAAATAAAGCATGTAGCGGATATAATTTAATTTGGTTTCCATGTAATGAGGTATTTTAACCAGCAGAGGGCAGACTTCACAACACTTGTCATATTTAACCTTGGACTGACGGTATTTTGTACCAATTGATGTCACAGTGCTTTTGTAGCCAAATTATATACATTTTATTCATGAGGTTGTATGATTGCATGTTGTTGTTGTTTTTCTTTAATTATTATAGACTAATAATTGTCGTGTTACAGTTCATCACATTTGCAATTTCCAGAAATGTAGTCATCTATAGATTACAAAATTCCAATAGCATTCTAAATTCATGCAAATAAGTGACGCACCACCTAAATATGCTTCATTATGGACAGCGGGGGAGCTGCAGGGGATTCCAGTGTGAACCTGGGCGGAGGGTGAAAGGAGTGAAGGGCTTGCACATTCCTGTCACATGCCATAAGCTTTCCCATCAGAGTGCAGCGGCGCTCGGGAAATGGAAAAGAATCCCCAGTTTTCCACCGTGAAACTAATACAGGCTGTGAAGTGGAAAGCGGGCATCCCCACTGCACGTGCATAGCTCTCCAAGTCCTACTTTGTTTTCCTCTACTGGAAAATGTGCAAGCTCAGTATTTGAACTGTGCTATTTTGCTCTAATATAAACATCATAGAATTGTAAAGAATGGCTACTATTACTTCTTTAGTAGTTGTGTATTAAACAGGCTTTTGTGAGAACTTTTTGGGGGCATTCCGATGTGGTGACACACAAAGACCAGCGCAGTACCCAGACTGGGTTATTGTCCTCCTGTCCACACTCAACAGCTCACTGCGCTACTGACAGAGAGGAGAGAAACAGAGGGATAGAACCAGGATGCATTCAAATACAGTGGGATTCCACAAAATCCATCATTTATATGGCAAACTAATGTAGGATGTAATCATAGGCTGTGTATATACTGCTGTATACAGTCTATGGATATAATAACTACGTGTTACAGAGGAGGCTAATAGTAACCTAAAAAGTAAAAATAAATAAAATAAAATAATAAATTTATAAATACATTCATACATACATACATACATACATACATACATACATACATACATAAACTAGCCTAGCCTGGTCCTTTGACGCCCTTTTCACCCCACATTTCTGTCTCCTTTTCCTTAGCCATGATTATTTTCAATTAATCAATATCCCTATTCATCCATCAATATAATTTATTTTATTATATTAATTATTAGTCATTTAAGTGCAGTGGCAAGTGGAGTCTGGCGCCCTCTACTTGCAACAGTGATATCCCATTTGTTTCCCATTTACTAACAGCTCTATGGTTCTGTAACAAATAAAACAAATATAATATAAATATTTTTATGAAAGAATAGTCATATTACTAAATGTGCCCCGCCCGTACCACATTTACGTTTGTTAATATTTCTAACCCAAACCAAGAGCTTTGCCGTGTAGATTTTTTTCCGAGCTTCTCTGAACGCCTCACAGAAAAAAAGGATCGCGGTTTCGCTCTGCGGGTCTGTCCCAGCCACAGCGCGTAGTAAACTCAGTCAGTCATCGAAAACTTTGCAGCGTGCGCCTTGAACTTGTCACTGTATGGAGTTTTATGGATGTTAATTATTTTATATGACCTAAACCGGTGAGTATACGGCACACGTACCGTCCAATGTTTACGCGGAGTTAGTTTTCACGTGTTTTGAGCAGAGCCGAGCGCGTAAAGTTGCCAGTGACAGTTCCACTTTGCACTCAGCAGCTTTGGTATTTTTAATCAGTGTCAATAGCATCCACCTGCCTGCCTACACATTTGAACTAAAGTTTGGCAAAATTAAAAACTGTGTAGCCGATTTAATTTTGTACCATTCATTTGACGCTAAACAAGCATGGATAATTGCACACATCTTGTCACAAAGCCTACATAAATATAGTCTCGATCTTGGTTTACAACTTTGCGCTCAGGCACACTTTTGCAGCGTACAAACTATTAGAAAAATGCCAGGGATGACATGTGAAACTGGTTGGACTTGGCTAGCCTTTTCCACCAGAAATACTAAAGGGATCGTCACTTTGGAGCCACGTTGGTTTTCTGAATGAGTGAGGTGTGTTGTTTTAGGTTGTTACCTGCACAGAAGTGTGTAAAACATAATGACATAGTTGTGTGGTGGCAGGTTGAGACATAGAGTGGATGTCCGTAGGGTAAAGATGAGGTAAGGCATCGTCCTGTCGTAGCTCAGGGCACTAGGTTTCCAGGTGAGTGTGTCTTAACACTTCTTACCTGAATATAAAACCACCAAGTAGTAGGGAATTCCCACTGTGATTTTTATTGTGCATTGAAATTGAAATAGTCACTGTGTAGTATGATGGGGATGTTTAACAGAAAGTTGATTTTATGATTTGTATCTTTTATTGGTAAGATGTCTATGTGGGTGATATTGACAACATGAACCACAAATGTAGCATTTTAAAATAGATCACATAGGCTATTTTATTCTAATTTTGCCTGAAACATTAATTGCAATATTATGATTTTTTTCTTTATATCCCCATCTCTATTAATACTGAATACAACTTTACCTATTATGCTATAGGTTCTAACAATGCCTACCAATGTTTGCATAGAATTTGTTACATAACTACATAAATACATAACTTTTTCTTATAATGAGATAAATTATGAGATGTATTTATATTTTGGAGCAATCTCTAGCCACCTCTGCTACTGCAAAGTTTCTTCTTATTCTTTCAAATGTATCTTGCCACATCACGAATGCTTAAAATTATCATATCTGTGCATTTTACCCGATATAATATTAAATATTGAAAACCAGTTGGTTGAGAAACTGTTAACTGCCTACAGCACTGCATAAAGGGGCCCCAACAGTCAAAAACACATTGATTTGTTACGCTCAGTGCACCCCATTCATGACTCATCTTTTATTGAGTCATCTCTACACTCCATGCCAGTTGCATTATTGTCTGGTTTTGGCTCTACGAAACATAGTCGCCCCTCTCTCTGTAGTAGTTCAGATGTAAACATATCTGCATCAGTTCACACATAGAGCATCTCTCTCTCTCCCTCCCTCTCTCTCTCTCCCTCTCTCTGTCTCTCTGTCCCGCCATCTCTTCTCTCACTCTCTCTTTCTCTTTCTCACTTTCCATTGGCGTGTATGTCTCTGCCAGGCCTTTAATCAAAGCCATATGTTCCCCAGGTCTATGAAAAGTCTGTTCTGTTCACTGTGCGAGCTTGTCCCACTGCAGCCAGCCTGGAGACACAAGACTCAAGGAGACTACTTCAGTTTTATACTAGTACATCGTTTTTAAATGTAGTAAAATTGTTTCATCAAACACAAATCACTAGATAGCGGTTTTCTGGGTGTGTACATGACATCACCGCCACATATGATCAATGTGTCTCGATAAAGCAGAATCATGAGGCCCAAACTTTGCAGATTTCAAACATGTTTGGCTTCACTCTGTGGTTGTGACTAATACTGAGCTCATCTGGGGATCCACCAAAAGCAGCCTCATGGAGCTTTTATCTGAAAGAGCTGCTCTGCTGAGTTTTCCTGGTTTTTTGTTGACGCAGGTTCTTGAGCTGAATTGAATTTAGTGAAATTTAACAGCCACATGGAAAACTGTTTTGCACTGATTAAAACACACAATAAACACACTGTAACAATTAAGTATGGGTCTATTTAGTTCAAATTGAGCAGTCAGTTTTAACTGAGATCAAACTAGGTGCAGTAGTATGTAACTTTCCTGATGCAGAATCTGCTACGTACTTGTCTTCATGCTATTGCTTTGCCTACTGCGTTCTACACTATGGCGTTAAACTTGTCTGCCTCACATTTATGCAGTTACAGGTGTTACTTGCTTGTCCCCATGGAGATGGATAAGTTTAAAGCCATACTATGAAACATCTCAAAGCAATACCATGGCCAGGGAGAGAAGCAGGTAGTTCTTTACCACAAAAAGTTGCATAGTGGATTCAGCCTCATACAAACTACACATTCTTAAAGGAAAGGGGGGTCTTCAGCTTTCTATCCATCCTCTTCCCCTTTGTTTTGACCTGTTGTGTGGACATTGGTCAGCTCCTTTTCTTTGGCGGCCATTAGAATGTGCTTCCATTGTGGTCATATGATGTGCCTTTTCTTCTCACACCAAACAAAGCAGAGGGGTCCCTTAGGATAAAGCTTATTGGCCAGATTCAGATGGAAATACACAGTACGATTCAAGGTTAATCTTTTTACTTTGTGTTGCAGCCTTAATAGTAGTTGGAAGTTGGAACAAGGGCTGGGCCATCTGGAAAAAAAATTCGTCCAGATTGTATTGATCGATAATGATTTGAATTCTGTTCTGTTTTGTGATTATATGAAATGGTTAAATGTTTCAATGTATTTAATGACCATTTAGGACAAAAACCAGAAAACAGACCAAGTTATTCCACCAAATTATGAACTCTGCTCCAAACCACATGCTCTACAGACAGTAGACTGGCTGCAGACCTGGCAATGAGGGGAAAAAAAAACAAAAAAAAAAAACAGAATTCTCCTTGACAATTTGAATCACGATTTAATTAAAACTTTAGCTGGAACATCTCCTTTCTTCATCTGCATAAAAGTTCTAAAAAGATTTTAAAACCTGGAATAAAATCTGATGCAAATGAGTTTGGATCAACTGCTTTTGTTCTCCACCTCAGAAATAGTAGCTAAAATTTTGTTCTGAAAAATAGGCCTGACCTAATCACACTGAAGGCCTTGAGTCATCGCTCCGAGTTGTGAAATAATCCTTCATGAATAAAGGCAGAAGGCCTCTCAAACCCCAGTACAAAAAAATCCCCTCGGATAGTACAACATTTAGAATATGTAAAAAGTAGTAGCTGAGTAGCATTTCAGTTTGCCCCTTTGATCCTTCTTTTGCTCAAATTCTGTATAAATAAAGATGAAAACATTTGAATCTACCATAAATACCAGTTTTATTATCAGGATCTTTAGTCATTGTCGTCTGTTACATTCTGAATCAGCATCTATGTAATAACTTTGACAGTCACACAAAACCTGTATCTTAGTTTACATGTTAGAAAGTAAAATAAGCAGCGCTCCGTGGATGATATAAAGCTTTATTAACAAATTCTTTTTCATTATTGAGCACCACTGAGGGAGAAGAGATTGGAGTTTTCGTCATCAATGCACTTGTTCCCTTGTGCCACTGTGACCTGGTTTCTGGTGCTGTTTGTTTAGTTATTTGTGTGTAGATGTGTGTGCGCGCGCGCGCATGTGTGTGTGTCGTCTGGGTTGTTGGCCTCGGGCTGAGATTGAGTCTGGAAGGGCCACTGTGGTTTCCCGGACGGACCAGGTCACAGTTCAGTTGATAACAAAAGCTGTTTGAACTCACTGTCAGTGCTAGTGGCGCACAAGTAGCAGATACAATCAGTCTGCTAATTTTCGAAAAATAAGACGTAATTATATAAAATCACATAATGAGCAGTGTAGTTTTGTGCAAAATGCTACTGTGGTAAATTACGTTAGCGAAAACTGCATCTCTGTTGAACCAGATTCTCTTTTTAGTACAGGTTGGCTTCTTACTGCGAGTCTGTGCCTTAGTAGATGTTTATGTCTTTATTATTCAATAAATACATGACACAATGACACACTTAAGTTGCCTAACCAGCCAGGTCATTCCACAAAGTGTTTTATAGTGAATGGAGCATGTGTCTCTGATTGGTTAATCTGCCTGTCAATCACACCCTCTGGAATTGGAGACAGGTTTGTTAAAATGTGTGGTTCTGGCTACTCAGGTCAACATTTTAGTAATATCTGTGAGCTGTAGAAGTTACTCAACCGTCTACAACTTCAATATTATCAGTCTACAACAAATATAACAGTTAGTGCAAAGTGAAGGTACACACATCAAATATTGACTCCTAAAGTACTATATATTGTCACATTTACCAGGCATTAGTCTGTATAGTCATTGTTAGTTGTAGTGTTGTTGTGTAGTTTTGTTGTTAGTTATTGTAACAGCCCCAATGTACATTTAGTTTTTGATGATAGCAACTCTTCAGACTCTTCTGCAGCAGCATATAAAAATACACGAGTATGAAATGAGTTCCAGAGTATAAAGAAGTCAAGACCAGTTACTAAATTAAGAGTGTTTGTAAATGATCCGAACGACTTTTCCATGTGTCTATTATGGACATGAATGCAGTGTAGTATGCTTTAAAGCTACAGTTCAGCTTTTAGGGAACCTGCTTCTTTTCTCTGGGTTGTTTTTAAAAAGGATGATTCATGAACAACACTTTTCTTACATTAAAACAATGTTGTCATCTCTGCAGTGTGACCTACTTGTGTTGGTAAAAGCCTGTTGTCTGTTGAAGAGCAGTGATTTGTAGCATTGGTGGTAATCTTAGGTGTTACCACGCCCAGCACCTGTGGACTGTACACCGGGTACGTCATAAAACCAATAACTAGTAAAATGGGTGATAGACTGGTATTGTGAGTTAAAGCATACAGACATACAGGAACAGTGCGTACACACTTAGACGTAGCAGTAAATTAAAGGCGATCTAATGTTGCTTTACATAATTTCTGATTTATCTAGATCAACATCAAGTTAAACCTGTTCAGCTGTCAAAGCTTATGATTTTGGACACACATCTGTAGCTTCAACAAACAGTACATGACCCTGCTGTTACTTAGGCCTTGTTTAAAGTACAATCAAGGCCAAGAGCACAATATATCACGTAAAAAAAATATCGCTTGTGTAATATATATTCATATCGTAAGAAACTACACAACTGTTGGATTAACAGTAGAAGTTTTACATTTCATTTGACAAAAAAGTACCTTTGTTGTGTGGGTGTGGCAGATTTTTGTCATAATCTTCTGATTCTTCTAATGTGACATTGTTTAGTGTGGTTTATTGTTCACTGTTGTACTAGTTTAATTAAGGCCTGCACATGTTTGTTTAAATTGCAGTGACCTTATTGTGTCTAAAATTGCACTAAACTGTAACAATGTTGATTTTGATACTAAACAAGTCATTCATTTTTACTCATTGTGAAAGACTAAAAAACAGCTATCATACTTTATCATCACTGAACCACTCGTATTCCCTAAAGCCTGTCATTTCTTGTATTACTGCGACTGTACGTAACTGTCCTTGTGGCTCTTGCTGCTCAGATGTGACCTCACACTCTGCTTGGGCGTGTTGTGTGGGACTCTCTGGTATGTTTTGACAGTGCACTGGACCTGGACAGAGATTAACGCTGTTAGCAAAGCATTGTTGGCAGCTATTAAATGCTCCCTCTGTGCTCGTTCTGAACTCCGGGTCCATGCTGCTGCACTGGACAATACTGAGGCTCACATTTTGTTGACATTTTTGAGCAACTGAACTTTTACAATATCTTTTATTAATCTTGACGAATTATGACCGCACTGGCTACACCAACCGCTGTGGTCACTATGTCATAAATGAATTTCACACAAGCACCATAACCACTCAGCAAGATCCTTACTTCTTTCCAACATCAGGACAGTTATGTAAGAAGAATAACAGAAATTCAAGATGTATTTCTATAGCATTATCATAGCAACGTAAAGCTATAAAATTCTAACAACCTCACATTCTTAAAGGGCCAATATTTGCCTTTTTTTCTTATCTACGTTATAATGTTTCCTCATCACAAACATACCTGGAGTTGTGTTGTGTTTCATTCACACACATTTAGCACACACCCTGCATATTTACCCTGAGATCTTCTCTCAAACAGAAAACACTCTGTTCCACCTTGTGATGTCGTGTCAAGTGCTCCACTGTGTTTTAAACTCCATACAACTTTGCTTGAAACATTTGGGTGATTTCAGCTCTGGACTTGCCAATCTCTACTGAAGAAAAGGTAAAAGGTAGCTGTTAACTTCATGACATCACAAAGTGGAACAGAGCATTTTGAGCTTTGGAGATGTAGACTGACTAATAATAAAGGATTACTAAAACATGTGTGAATGAAACTCCAGGTATGTTTTTGAGGAGGTAACAACACATGGCGTGAAGCTCACAAGAGTTTATTTTGTGTAATACAGGCCTCTTAAGTTATTTTGGCATGTTTAACTTCCTTTTAGTTTTTGTCTCTGATAACAGTTTGTTTTTAACTCAGGCTGCCATGTTGTTGATGCAGGTAGCTTATGAAAATCTAACCACTTTGATTACTTTCTGTCCATTTTTCAGTTTTCTTGTTGATCTGTGATTTGTCAAATACACTAATGCCTTGTGTAGTTGCTCTTAGCAATGACGTAATGCTTTCCCTTGTCACTTTCCACTCTTCCTGCCTCAAATCTCTTGTTTCTGTTATTTCAGTCACATCAGTCACAATGAGCTGGCTCTGTCCAGTAATTTGGGTGAATAGTTGATGATAAGATGTGAATTAACAAGATTTCTCAGTTCAACTCTTAGACATTTAAAAGTGCACTTACACTGTGTAACTTTTCTGGTGGAGAGTCTGCTGACTGTTTGTTTTCAGAGAGATATTATTGCTTTGCCTTGAATGTTTCACAGTTTGACATTAAAAGTTTTTATTTATTCTAATACTTAACCTGTAACTTGGCCTAATTGCGTCACCTTGTTTGTCTCCATTAAGATTGGAGATTCATACATACATCTAGACAAAGCAATAATAACTCTTTGAAAACAGGTGACAGACCCTCCACAAGAAAAGTTACTCAATGCACCTTTAATAAGCGTGTGATAAATGAAACATAAATGTTTTTTTTCTGTTTTTTTGTTGTTGTTATTTTTGCAGAGCCATCATGAACACTTAAGAAACCAGACTCAGCGCTATCAGGGAAATTCTGCAGGCCACCACAGTTTGCTGATTTGTACAGCTGCACTAAGCCACTGTTTCTGCTCAAGCACTGTGAAGAAATGCAGTCCCTAAAGACGTAACTGTTCCTCTATGCTCATAATGCTGAACTGATTTATCAAACCTGGGATGGCCTCGGAAAAGACTCAGACGCGATTAGGTGCTGTGGCCGTAGCTCAGCGCGCATCATCTTCTACAAAAAATGGCGGCTTCCAGGACTTTCACCAATTCCCCGATCCTTACCGCTCCAGACAGCACTGTGGCCCATCCCTGCTCTGGTACAGAAAGTTGTCGACAGACAGTGGAAGAGACAACCTCGCTGATGGGAATGGGCTATACCCTGGAGATTTAAGCTGCTCTCCTGGCTCCCGGGACAGATTAAATCCTGATGGAGTTACTGGGATCAGGGTTTCTCCGATAGCATCTGTGAGGGCCTCAGCGGGATGTTCAGATCAACTGGACTCTTTGCTAGAGGACAGGTCTGGTGTCTACACAAGTCCAGTGTCCAGTCCACACCCAAAGAACAGACACCTCCGCCGCAGCAGTCTCCCTGTGTCTGTGCTCAGCCTCAACAAGGTAAATTCATGTTAATCCTTCATGTGAATCATTATTATAAAGTCTGTACTGGCATAATAAAAGTCTGGCGTGTCCTGTTTGAAAATGATTTAAGTGGCATTATGGGAAGGACAGTTTCAGTAGTAGAGCTTTGGAGTTTGAGCCAGTGATGTGACATTCAAGAATGAGTTGGCTCTTTTGAATGGTTCTTTAACATGGACGGTTGGATCCGGATCTCATTTTTGAAATTAACTTAATCCTTTTTCCAATTTTGATGCATTTTCACACTAATAAACACTGAACAAAAAAGGAGCACAGAAGCAGAGTAAACAACATGAGTCAATACACAAAAACATTTGACACAGAAAGAAGAGTTTTTAATTATTATTATTGTAGTTCATTTTATTTACCGGTAGATTATGCATAATTTCAAAAAGTAAACACAGTCCCACTCTCAGTTTGAACCATTTTAAACAAATCATGGTAATTTCTCTCTGTGATTTGTTCTCACATTGGCTTCTATTGTATAAATAACTAAAAGAGCCAGTTGTTTGAATGTCTTTTTGACATAAACGAATCCAAAAGATACAGATCCCACAAAGGAACCGAAACTCCCATCACTAGTTTGAACATATTCCTTGAAACCTGAAGGTCAATGGTTAAATCCCAGCTCAACCTCAGAACTGATAGAATTTTAAGTGAAATTTTAATGCAAATAAAAGTGTCTGGATAGCACTGTAACACTTATGCATTGTTATTGGTATTAAAGGGGTAATTTAAAAATACATTAGTGTGTACAGATGTTATACAGATGTTTGTTTTTTTTCCATTTTCCCATTTTGAACTATTTGCGTTTACAGAGAACCAGGCTCTTGTGAAAATGTAAAAATGTCCTTGCTCAGTTCACAATCTGATCATTTGGTTTTGGACATTGGTCATGTTGTGCCTCCATGTTGTGTTCCAGACCTCCCCTCACCTGAGCTGGTCCAGCCCCTGCAGTGAGCCTGCGTCCCCGGGGTCCTCTCCTGACCTCTCTCGCCACTGTCTCCCACCGGGACACCTGAAGCGACAGCGCGTCATAACTGGCTACTCCAGTTTAGAGCGCCTCAACAGACGTCCTCGGGGTAACAAGTGTGTGGTGGACAAACTGTTCCTGCCCCCTGCTGCACCGGGGCAAGAGTCCGGCAGCAGCAGCAGTGAGAGCGGCGCTGAGGAGGCAGATGAAGAGGACTGTGAGAGGAACCGCAAGGAGCGCTCCACTGTCCTCGTCCGCCGCTTTTACAAAAACAACACAAAGGTAAAAGACAACAGACATGTTTAATTTTTATTGAATAGGCTGCTTTCTACGATTCATGTAGTTTAATATAATGTTGGGCAGGTCAGAGTCCTATGCTGGAATTTGCTGTTTGACTGTCAAATTACAGATTTGTTGACCTGGTTTCTTTAATATCTCTGCAATTACTAGACCTATCCACATGAAACAAAAACTGGCACCATGTCTAATGTGTTCTCTATTGTGTATAAAGTCAAATTATTTCTTTCACAATAGCTCCAGAAAGTGGTGCTGTTATTCAACCTCACAGACATAATTGTTGCCAGTGGAAAGGACTTTGTGGAGCCAATCTGTAACAAATAATAGGTTTCCTCATTTGTTGATCATATGTTTGGCATTTTAGTAATCTCACATTTAGTTAGTTCATATAACATCATCACATTCTAGAATACAACTAATTTTTTTAATTGCAAAATGTTTGTTTCTTTTATCAGGTCAAGAAATCAGTTTGTACCGGAACCAGGGCTATCGTCAGGACGCTGCCTTCAGGACAGATCTCAGAGGAGGCCTGGCAGAAGGTCATGTGTCACCAGAACTGGAGACCAACAAAAGACCAAGTGTGGAGTCTGCTAACCTGCACCAGACCAGAAGAGTTTGGGGTGCGCAGGGACATGCTCAGAATAGTCCTCAATTTCCAACAGGTAAGAGAAATTTTGTTTTTGGATTATTTGTCATGTACACGTATTTGTGAGAAAAAAACCCAAAAAACATTTCAAAGTAGAAAGAAATTGTTTATTTAAAGCAACTCCTTTTCACTTTTGTACTACATCTCTGGTATTGCACTTTTCCCAGTGATTTGATAATGTTGGGGGAATGATAAGGTCCGGGTTTTATGATTCTGTTAGATTTACTCGTCCCCTCAGTGAGTTCTACTGCAGATTTATGGCTTCATTGAATGTTTTGCCTTTTTATGCAGGAAAGTTATTTCAGCAGTATATGCCAGCGAACCAGCACACATCCCGACACACACAGGCTCTTTGTTCAGTGGAAAATGATTTATTCTGTCGGTACTGCTGCCTATATTACTGACTGAGGCTGAGGCCAGTGTGAGAGAGGCAGAGCGAGAGGGGGAGGAGAGAGGGAGAGAGGGAGAGCACTGTTGGCAGTAGAGATGTGGAACGTGTGGAGAGAGAGAAGTGGGGGCATTACTTTTACTATGCACTTTCCATAAAAATGCCTGAATATTGAGCAGCAGCTGTAACTCAGCCGGCAAACTAGAGTTGGAGGCACCCGCTGGTCTTTCCAACACATTTAAACCTAATTATCTGTTAAATTACAGTGTCTGTTTGGAATGGTATTTTAGTTAATACCAGTAAATTATAATATGGATTCTGTGAAGATGCATTTCCACTGTACTGTACCAGTCTGTCACATGTTCAACTCTCGTGCACTGGTTACAGCAGATGCACTGGTGTGTAATGGTGCTGCGTGGATTCTGACTTTGCCAAAGTGTTTTTATGAGTCCTTTGTGGTTGTAGAAAAACATTCTGGGTGAAGTCCAGCTCTGCTTTAATAATGAGCCCATTGAAAACAGCAGAGCTGCCAGAGGTTCCTCATCAAAGCACCAGCACAGAGTTCACCTCAAAAACTCCGAACACAACTTTGAACACAGAGCAAGGGATTACACAACCCTTCAAATCAGTGCAGTAACATCCTGCAATGGGACTAACTCTATAGCTTTATACAGAAGTGGAGAAGACACAACTTAACCTTTGACCTGCTCTGCGCAAATTAAAATCTAGTGTTTCTCTGCACACACCCAGACAGTGTTGAGAACTCAAAATGCTCTGTAAGCCATCCTTCTGTAATCACACTGAGGAGTTTTCTGGAGGTATCCCATAGCCCTCAGTGTTTATTGCTACAAGTAATGAAGCGAGCCAAAGAACACAGGCGTATGTGAGGGAGGCACTGGAGCAGAGAGCGGTCTGTGGGAGAGACAGGGCCGGAAAGCATCAACTTTAACAATGGAAAAGATGAAAATCAATTTAGGCTGCTCTTATTAGTCCCTGTAGTCAATACAACAAGGCATTAAATGTGTAGGGAGTTTAACAGTGTCCCTCTGGGGTAGGAGGGCTGCACCTGGCCATAGAATCAGACTCTTTCTGAACCAGATGCGTTTTATGTTTTACTGCCTTTGTGGAGGTGACAAATTAGGGCTCCGGGGCCACCAAGTGTTTGTAGTAGCGTCTGGTACTGAGGTACAAACCACACAAGCGAGTACAAACATGTGAAATGGGTCTTGAATAAAACAGTGCAACAAGGAGACCTGTTAATTAAGCATATATATATATATATATATATATATATATATATATATATATATATATATATATATATATCGGTCTATCATTCAATAGATGACAAAAAAACTAAATAAAAAATTTGACACATTTTTAGCTCTAACAGCATTTTTTATTTTTTGTTATTTTAACATTTGAGCTTACTAGGGTCACTCAGTTTGATGCGATATTTGTATTAAAATATCAGAGGCAAAGTGGTCTTCAGTAGTATAGTTTATCATGTTATTTCAAGAAACAAAATTTTTTAATGACATAGGCCTAGCAACAAGATAATGGCCATGTGTAAAACTTAGATCAGTAATAGAGTTGTACACGCTACAATATCCATGCACCTTTTGGTCTGTGTCTGCAGGTAATAAAAGAGGAACATGCCCCAAGTTAAACTTAATGTAGAAATTCTTGTTAAATGTGCACATTGTTTGCACTGTAGGCACCCTTTGAAACCTCAGCTATAAAACTGATTTGTTTAAAGAAGGAGATGTTTGCTGCTCTGTAATTACTTCAACAAACAGAACCATGTCTGTATCTCATTCTGTTTCTCTTTAAACACGGACGCTCAAACATAAGACACCAGCAAATATCCTGTATATGAACAGTTCATTTCATTTTAGCACAGAAAGACTTATTATTGTTTGCTTAGTTAAATTAGAGGACTCAAATAAAGGCTTTATTGGACTCGTAATGTTTTATATCTGTGTTATGTAGCTCTGCTGAATATGTCTAAGGTATTATACTCTGGTCTGCTGATAAGGAGGCGTGTAGGGCCATATTCACTCTTCTTTTGGTGGATTTTTGGACTAGACTAAAGTTCATACATTTTAAACACATTCTGAATAAAGTTTCAGGTTTATTTTCTGATTTAAAATTGCACAAAATGCAATATAATCTAACAAGGGCTTCCATAAGTAGGGTGTAAGGCTGCAATGATTAGTCGATTACTAAGATAATCATAATTGTATTTTGATAATCTGGGCTATACAGTTGCGTTTTCAAAAGTATTGATAATCAGGTGCTAATTGATACTAAAACTAGTATCGAAACTAGATACCCATTTGAGAAAATATTGATACAGAAAAGTCACATTCACAGGACAGAACATTTCTTGAATAGATTTAGAATAATCTTGAGCTCTATCAGGCCACACAGACTGCTATGTAACTCACCTAGACAACAGAGGGATTACACTGATATAAAACTGCATGGTAATATAAAAAAGTCCCATTATTTAATGATGAAAATCCCTTTCTGTTGTCTGAAGAGTGTTTTTTTTTTTTTTTTATTATAATCTTGGTATCAGTATCTATTCAGAACTGAGTTTTTGAAATTTTAGTATTGTGATACATACAGACCTTTTATAACAAAAACTGTGACATTATTAAATAAACAATGTAAAAAATATATGAATCCAATAATACACTTTATTTGTATATTTATAAGTAGTTGAATAATTAAAAAATAATCTCTAACTAGTAAACTACTGGAATAATAGGCTGCGTAAACTGCCTGTAGTTATTAACTTTTCAAATGGTACATTCTTTCAAAGGCAAATGGTTTATCTGTCTTTATATCTATGTCATGATTATGTTCATGTCCATGATGATACAGTGTTAACAAACCAGCTTCGACTGTCTGTGATGATCTGAAGAGCCAACAGAGAAACGTGGCACAGAGCCTCAGCAGCAGGACATAAACAGACTTTCTCCCCATGCAGCCCTCTGGTTTAACCCTGTGTCTCAGGGTAATTGTTTTTCTCTGCGAGCCGTGCCACTACAAAAGAATGTGCAGAGCAGCCCACTTTGTCCACTCTTTGTCCACAGCTGGCAGCACAGATTAGCACAGATTAGCCTGAGTGAGACCAGCGCATGTTAAGTAAGTCGTGCTGCGCTGAAAGAGCTCGAGCGATAAATATTTGGCATGCTTCTAGTACGGATACCTGTGTTGCTCTTGACATTGGAAACAAGCTGGTTTCCTCGAGGCCTGTCATAATAACCACTATGTTAAAGCTGCGCCATGTAACTTTTCTGGTAGAGTTTTTTTTTTTTTTTTTCTGTTTTCTCCATGGAGACAAGCAGCCACATCACCTGGCCAATTTGCAGGTCAGTAGATACGTGGGCCTGCTCACAGTTAGCATGAATGTTTTTTGAGGTAGTTTTGAGAAAAAGTCCTATAATTTAATATAAGATATATTTGTTTAAAACCATACTGTGGAACATCCCAGACAAAACAATAACGTCACCATGGAGACAAGCACATGATGGACCCTCTACCAGAAAAGTTACACAGTGCACTTTTTAATTTCAATTACAGATGAGTAATATCATTTGTACCAATAATTACACTAGAGTGCTGTTTTTATTGTCCAATCCTTTATAGACTTACTCTGTTATGTAAAGATGTATGTTGTAGTTTTCGGTTTTCCTGGTGGAGGGTCCACCACTGCTTGTCACCATGTAAATTTGATGTTTTTCCTGGAATGTTCCACAGTACACGTAAAGCTTTTCTGTCTAGATTAGGACAAACTGGTGACACCACCAGGCCAAGTTACAGATCAGTGGTGAGGCAAGTCCAAGCACCGTATTTCAGTTTGGGTTTTTTTTTTTTTTTTTAGCAATACAAACACAGTAATTGAATGAATGGATGGATAAGTTTAAAGTAGCATTATGGAACATTCCAGGCAAATAAAAAGATCTCCAAAACCAGGCAATGCACCCTCCACCTCTAAACATACTGCATTCTTATGAAAACCTTATGAGTGTCATTGTGCTGTTTATTTATTGTGATTGGATAATGTTGTGTTTATTATTAATTGTAATATTTTCTGACTGGTCCGTACAATCTTCCTTTGTTTTCTTCCTGAGTTTTGTGAGTTGACAGAGAGGTGTGAAAAGTTTCTGTTGACATGCCTTATCCTCTGGGGGGCTACGCTGAGCAGTTTTTTTTTTTTTCTGCTGTTACTTTTAGCTTCTTGTGTCTTTGTAACAGTGTGGGAAAAGAGGATTCTTCATGGAAATGTATCCCAAAAGATTTTGGCCAGTGACAGAGGAGACATTAAGGGGGTTTTAGAAACATAAACCCTAAATAGAACTCCCGGAAAATAAACAAAGATATAAAAGCAACTTGCATTTAGAGATACTATATATTACGCTAAATTGACTCTTGTAAACTTTAAACCCTGTCATAATGTTGTTACGTCATCAAAAAACATACCTGGAGTTGTGTTTCATTTCATTCACACACATTTCAGTGATGCTTATTATAACTATTAGTCTGTCTACATCTCCAAAGTTCACAATGCTTTGTTCCACCTTGTGATGTCATGAATCAGTAGTCTTCAAGTTAAC